TGTTCTATTGGGTTTAGCTTCTAGCTGCTGTTCTGTTGGGTTTAGCTTCTAGCTGCTGTTCTGTTGGTTTTAGCTTCTAGCTACTGTTCTATTGGGTTTAGCTTCTAGCTGTTCTCTAGGTTTTAGCTTCTAGTTGCTGTTCTGTTGGTTTTAGCTTTTAGCTGCTGTTCTGTTGGTTTTAGCTTTTAGCTGTTCTTCCGTTGAGTTTAGCTTTTAGCTGTTATTTTGCTGGTTTAAGCTATCAGAAAAGATTTTTCTTGAGTTTATTTTAAATAATTATATACAATTATTACAATAATTATATACAGCAAATATTAAAAATAAAGAGTAAATATGCAGACAGACAGAAGTACAATGGATCTTCTGCTGCATCAAGATCCTTAAAGAATTAAAGGCCTAGCATTCCTTGAAGGGCTACAGTTCACCCACCGCCTTTCAACCTCTACATTCTAAAAGTTTTATTAAAGATATTCTGCTGACAGTGTGTTGACTGTAGCAGCTGAAGCCAAGGTTTTATGTAAAGAGCTTGTGCAATGTGCTGCACTCAGATGACCTGTTGGAGATGACCCTCAGCTACTTCCACACAAAATTTCAGTTCAAAATCTGTAAAATTTGCTGCGTTATTGCCATTTTTGTATTAAATAAAGTTGTTGGCTGTTGTGGCCATCTTGTACTGGGTTGAATCCAAATCCTAATTAGTGGTAGTTTTAGATGATCCAGTGATTACTTTCTGAAAGTTTAATTAAAACCAGTACAATGGATCATTAGATATTCTCCTAACAGAGTTGACTCCAATAGTTAAAGGTAAAGTTAACATTAAACTTAAATTTAACATTATTTATAATATGTTATAACTTGCATAGTTGTTTTGAATGTTGTTTTTCCTTAGACGTTTTTACCTTTGTAGCGATGCAGAGTGTGCGGAGGCCCTCTCTGGCATAAGAATCCAGATGTTTCTGGGTTTGTTCTCTGACGTGACTGTAGATCTCCTGTTCTGCACCTGGAAACAGAAATCTCAAGCAGTCTAATATCAATCGTTCTCTACATCAGTCAGGACACACAACTATTCAGCCAGATTTGGAGAGCTCAATATTTCATCCCTTCAGATTTTACCTTTAGGCGTTTCAGCCAGATCCATGATGACGGAGTCGGCTCCTTTGGTGTAAACCACCACCTGTCCTGTGAGGGGGTGTCGGACCACCACAGACATCCTCTTCCTGTTGGAGTCGAAGGGCAGGATGTGAAGCAGCTGCACTGACAGAGAGTCGATTCCCGGCAGCTCCACCAGCAGGCTCTCAGCAGAGCGACCCCTCAGGGTGCAGTGGTACGCTCGAGCTGCGTAGACCAGCGCCGCCTCATCGGGACTCTCCGCCTCGTAGAGCAGCTCATCGTCACTGTCCTCCAACTCAACATCTATGTTCAAGTCCTTCCCATCCTGCTTGGGCCCATCACCTTTTGCATCCACGTGAACTTCCAGCTCTTCCTGGTCCTCCATATTTACAGAATTATCTCCGTCTCCTTTTGCTAAAAGGTCCACTTGACCTTTGTTGGTTTCCTGGTTGCTCTCCGGAGCAGAGTGTGACCCGTTTGTGCTGTTGTTTGTGGGAAGGGGGAACGTGAAGGAGCCAGTCTTCCCCCGAGTGAAGAGCCTACTTGTGAAGCTGCGAGGGCTCCCTTTGATTTGGGGAGGGTAGAAGCTGAGACGTTGGAACATCAGCTTAATTTCCTCAAGAGACTTCAGAGGAGTTTGTGCTTCAGGCACCTGGAGGGAAACGAGAACAGGACGTTAATTACCAAAAACTGAACAGCTCAACACAGAGCCGCTTCAGGAAATACACAAGCCCCTTCACTTCATGTAAGCTTTACTGAGTTACAAATTAATTTAGTAGTTTTGTGGCAAATGGTGTGCATCTTTTCATTGATTACTCCGTGAAAAATTGTAATAAACCATTTTAAATTGTAAATTAAACAAACTATCAAAGTGCAAGAGAGTGCAAGAGAATTCTCTCTGTGATGGGTCTGACTCACCACATGGCGAGGCTGGCTGGGCGAGGAGACCACCACACTGTTACAGATGGCGAGAGCCAAGAAGAAGTCGGTGATGTAGGTGAGCTCCAGACTGGATAACGTCTTAGAGGAGCTGTCTCTCAGATACAGCACAGAAGAGCAGAGACAGTTCAACTTCCTGACCAGCTCCGGGTCAGGGACCACGTCCTTCGCCTGAATGAACACGAACACAAAGCTGCAGATCAACTCAGTTCTATGACTTCAGATCAAACTGTATGATTTCATGAACTTGTCTCTGAAAAAGGAGAACCCCGGCTGCCGAAAGGATTCAGCTCCAAGGACCAGTACTGCTGCAACAATTAAATAAATTACTTTAAGTCTATAAAGTCTAAGCCTCAGGAGAGAATATATTCAGGTTCTTCAGGTTGGTTAGGTTCTCCTGAGTTGGACTTTTGAGCAGAACAATCCAAGATCCTTAATTATTTTCCCTTAAACAACTTAAGTGTTTTCAGAATCAGTCATGCTGAAAGGTGAACCTTCATCTAAGAGTAAATTCTCTGGAAGATTGAAACAAGCTTTCCAAATAAAGCTCTTTTTAAAAAACATTTATTTCTTTAATTCTAACCAGGCTTCTTACTGATGAAGAAAAACCTCCTCAACATGATGCTGTCACCACCGTGCTTCACAGTGGTGAGGCAACAATGTGCTTCACGGATGGCATTTCTGTCATCCTGAACAAAATGAAAGGTGTTAATTGGCAGAAGATTTTGCTTTTTCTTTAATTACCAAGACATGTTCAGTCTTAGACCCATCTGATCTCCTTCCAATAATTTTGAGGCTCTACAAGACTTTTAGTGACGACTTTTCCACAATGTCTAACTTTGTATATTTTCATCAGTCTGAGATTTTCATTTACAGATTTTCTTTGACTTTGAGTTTTGGTGGAATCCAGCTTTTATTTGTTTTTAAACGGATTGGTGTTCTAAGAGTTTTAGATACTTTTTGTACAACCAAACTCAAAATAAAAACCTAAAATAGGTTCTTATATAACAGAACAGGGCTGCAAATTTCTGAAATAATTTCTAACTAAACTTAATTTCATGCGACTTTAAAGAGAAACAAAACCAAGTTGTTATTACTCAACAGCCAAACAAGGAAGCGATTCTGCTGCAGTGTGCTGGAAAACCTTGTGAATTGGTTTGTTGTGTGAAAGAATCTTACCATGCGGCTGCAGAAGACGCCTGCCCTCGCCGGGACATGATTGGACAGTTGGTCTTCCTCCTCCATTGATTCAGCAGTGAGCGTGTGCAGAGACACGGAGCTGCGGTTGCAGTTAACGGAGCGACAGCTCAGAGATTTCCCGCTGAAGCCCGACTTCAGAGTCACAGTGCGATTGGTCTCCTCGTTCGGCTCTGCCTCGTACACCTCCAGCCTACGCGCTAACACACAAACACAAACATTAAAAAAAAACACAGCCAGACCTGAAGCTCTGCTGCTGCAGTTCAGTTCTGCAGTCCCCCACATACTAAGAGAAAAGCTCAAAGCAGTTTGCACAATAGCAAAAATGTCACAACAAATGTACAGCAGTTACTTCTTTATTACGGGGATTAGGGGACCACGCCCCCCGCAATAAGTGAAAAACCATGAAATAGGGATACAGTAGTCCAAGTTCAAGTTCCACTCCCAGTCTCCCTCCTTCTGTGTAAATAAACAATTTAAATGCAATACTGTAATATTTAAATATTACAGTATCTAAATATAAATTGTAGAGAAGAGAAGCGCAGCAGGATAGCAAAGAGTTAATCCTTTACACAGCAAATGAAGCAGGGAGCAGAAATTCTTGATCAATTACACTGTAACAACTGAACATAGAAGTTCTAAAATAATTAAAAATAACTTTTAAAACTTTTATATTTTGTGATTATGGATGATTTTACGATGTGACTTTGAATTTTAAGTTGGAAGACAATCGGTGCAGCTGGACAGCAAAGGGTTAACCCTTCATGCAGGAGCAGAAATGTGGGTGTGGCAGAGAGCCGCAGGTGGCAGAGAGCTGAAATCATGACAGGCTGCAGGAGGGAGCTGCTTCCTGCACCTGTGGGCGGCACACAGGTGCAGCAGGTGCTGAATCATTTAAAATAATTCATTTAAAATAAACAACCCATGCTGCTCGTGTGACTCATCCACCAATCAGCCAATTGCGTCTCATGTCCACTCTTACTTTGAAAAAACGCGAAAGAGCGAGTCCGCAAAAGTCGAACCACGAAGTAGCGAGCGACTACTGTAGATCTAAAGGAAACGGCATGAAACTGCTGTAAGGATTCCAAGTTCCAAGAGTCTTGATATTAAATATATTTACATAAGATTATTAATAGACCATTTAAAAATGAACAAATAAAAGTTTGGATAATGTAATGAAAGTAAATGTCAACTTCTCACCATTTTCCTCATGAGGATATTCAACCCCATAAATACTGCAGCGACGAAACACCATCTTATTTTCAGTCAGCGTTCCTGTTTTGTCTGAGAACAGGTACTGGATCTGGCCCAGGTCCTCTGTGATGTTGAGAGCCCGGCACTGGATCCTGGAGTCCAGCTGATCGTTGTACAGGTCCAAGTCATTGTGGATGAAGTAGATCTGGCCCAGCTTCACAATCTCAATGGAGACGTAGAGAGAAATTGGGATCAGGACCTGTTGGAAGAGGTCAAAAGTGAATGTTAAACCCTTTAACTGTAAACCTGTCAACTGTGATTTATGAAGGAATGAAGCTTTATTGACATTGTCACAAGAACAACAAAGTTGCAGAGCCACTCCCAAGGTGCTAGTACAGCATACCATGTACATAAAGTGTAAAAAAGATTAAAAAGGGTTAAAATCTTACATTAAATAGATCGTATACAGAATATTGAGGTGTAAAACAGTGTGTGGCTGTGAAGAGTGTGTCAGTGCATGTATGTGTTCAAAACTGTAATGACTTGGGGAAAGAAACCGTCTCCAAGACTGAGGGTTCAAGCCCTGATGATGCAACAGTTCAAAGAGGAGGGAGCCAGGGTGGAAGCTGTCCTCGGTCCTTGTTGGTGGCTCTGCTGAGACATTGGGAGGTCTAGATGGACTTTAGAGAGATGAGGGGGACGCGAGTGATCCACTGAGCGGTGTTCGCCACTTGACGCTTTCTCCATTCTGCCTCAGTGCAGTGAGGTGAAGTAAGTTGGCACTCTCTCCATTGGAAGTTCACTAGTTCACTATCGGCTATTATCTTCTGAATGATGTCGGAAATGATGGCTTGTAACTCTGGTAAGGCTACAACAGAAAAATCTCTCAGACTGGGGACGATGTAGCGAGGCTCAAAGTAGTCCAAAAATTTTCGGAATCCGATATCTTCAACGAAAAAAAACTTCCACACCGCCGACATTTTGACTTCTTTCTCTCCGCCGTGATCAGATCAGGTAGGCACGTGTGACGTCATCACTTTGTGCTGGCTCTGCAGGCATTCTTGTCACTGGGTTGTCATACATAAACAGCGCATTTCATATCGGTGAGTTATTTTGATAGAATGGCCGATGTCCGATGTTTAACTTTAACGCTAATATCGGCCGATACCGATAATATCGTGCATCCGCAGTTTCAAGACTTCATCTTTGTAGGAGTCTCATCTCCTCCTGAGATCTATCACACCACTGTTGTGTCTGCAAACTTCCCAGCGGTGGTACTTTGTGGGTGTAAAGGCAGTAGAGAAGGGGGCTCAAACAGGAAACAAATGCTATGAGAGCAGGTCATCCCACTCTACTTTCAAAAATCCCTCTGACCTTCAGAAAAAAGCTCCTCAGTCAATTATATAGATAAAGTACTTCAAGTTCATGCCACCGTTTCCATTTTTGTAGGTATAAAATAATTATTCATTAATTAAAACAAAGTGTTGACATGCCATAGTTACACAATCAAATATTTAAATCATGGTTTTAGAGGCAGTAAAAGTGACATTTAATATATATATATATATATATTTACACTGTATATATATTTTATAGTCTGTTTTTTTATTATCTCAAAAACAATTAGGCTGCAAAGTGCTTTATTTTGCCCTTATCTGAACACACCTGGAGTACAATGATCATAGTCCAGAAGACATAGAACCCAGCCAGAGCAGGAGAGGTTTCACCATCAACCTCAAAAATGGGGTCTTTGAGGTTCTTCAGCCAGAGGCCATGACCTGAAATGCATCAAAACAAAAAGCTCAATACATTAAAAATTACAAATGATAACAAAACTTACAGCTTCTCGGTTACTTAGGAGTCCAAACCCACTGGTTTTAGGACCACGGTTGTGTTCTTGTACACACCTAACGCAGCAGTCAGACACATGACGATGAGGACGACGACACACCACAGGACGTCAGTGTTCAGGCGCTTCTCCAGCTTGCTGCGTTTATACCTCGGCCCGCTGTTGTTCATCATGGCTTTAGTCTCATGACCTGAGCCATAAAACAGAATGACAGAACATGCTCAGTTATAGGACATAAACCCTTTTTCTGGAGAAAAATATGTTTGTCAGACATTTAAAGACGGATAAAGTCCTTCAAACAATGGCTCACTTACACTTAGAATAAATAAAGTCAAATTAAGGAGAAAAAAGCACCAGGATCATAACATACAGTAAATAACAGTCATAAAAGATTAAAACACACAAGGTATTCAGACAAAAATATTTATAACCTAATTTGACTTTGTGTCTATTTGCTCAGGTATGTTTAAACAACCCCAGCTGTTTGGTTTGTTTTACAGCCAAGAGAACGCGTCTGAATAATCCATTTCATGTACAGACTGTGCACTTTACTCATGGCCGCCGCCTCTTCTCTGGTGAACATCACGTGGACAGAGAGAGTTTTGTATCAACACCAACATGCAGGTTGGTTCTTGCAGAGCTTTACGATGGACAGTCTTTCGCAGAACAAACAGAAAGCAGATAAAATCCACTGAGTCACTGTTGTCAGCCTGCTGTAAAGAGAGGCGGCTGTAACTTCGGCTGAGACAATAAGAGTATAAACAGGTTTCGTCAAAGGTTGACAGATTCAGAAACGGTAAGATGAACGGAAGATGAAGACCTGAGAGTTCTGGTGAGTGTAGTAATGTGTAAAAGATCATATAGATACTAAGGAGCGACATTATGAAAGCCCTAAAATCAAGAAAGAACGTTTAGTTCAGACGTGGGCAACATGTGGGTCGAGGGCCAAAAGTGGCCTTTAGACTCTCTATCCGGCCCCCTTTTTCTTAATTAAAAAGTGAACAACTTTTAAATAAGATGATGAAGTTTGATTTTTATTAATAAAATATAAATCAAACATCATGGACAAATAGATAAGAAATCTTTGGATAGAGAAAGGCTAAAACGTCTTGAGTCGTCGTGTTTCCAGAACTACACTGATCCTAAAAGACTCGAAAAAGCAAATATACAATTTTTATTTTGCATATTTAAGCAAAAATATATATAAAACCACCAGAGCCAGTTTACAGAAAATAAGTCTTGCAATCTTAAAGATGATCTGCCTTGAAGAAAAATATATTTTTTAATTCTCTATGCGGCCTTCTGATTGCTCAAATATCTTGATTTGGCCCTCTGGGAAATAAACGTTGCCCACTCCTGCTTTAGTTAGTGTGGAGTTTACCAGGAAGTCCTTAAGCTTAAAAGGTTCTAGTAAAATGTGTGGGAGAGATCTGGACCAGTTGAAGATCATGATGGGACTTTTATCTGGGACTAAAGCGAAGGGAAGCTGCAGCGATGGAGAAGTGAAGTGGCCAGGGAAGGCGGTGTTGCTTGGTTTGAGAGCAGCGGCAGTGATTATTACCAAGGTGGAAATATGCAGTCCGGATTGTATTACTGATGTGTTCTTGGAATAACAGAGTGCTGTGAAGGATGACACATACACCAAGTCAGGTTCCAATAAAGTGTTGTGGAAAAAGTATCAGGTGATGATTCAGAACACTGGTATGTTCAGAAACTGTAAGAAAAAGTTTTACACGAACCATGCAGAGACACAAACTTCCCTGCTTTAATATAATATGCACTTGAAATATCTAGCTGTGTTTCTTAGTAAAAGTATCTTTTCCCCGTGATAATGTGCCTCACCAGCATAAACCACAATGCCAACCACTGTCTCAGTGTTTCGAATGGTGCAGCTCCTCAGCAGAAGGTTGCTGCTATGGAGGCCGACGCGAACCCCACTGGAGTGCTCTCTGTGGAAGGAAAACACAAGATGATAAAGTCTACAGCTGGAATGTGTGTGTGTGTGTGTTTGTGAAGTAATAAATACTCACATGTAACCTCTGAACCTGCTGAGATCATTGTTGGGATTCTCGCACTCAATACGACTGTGGAAGCTTTCGGGGGTGAAGTCTACGTCCTGGAAAACAACAAAATGCACATTTTCTTTCTATCAGATTACTGTATTTATTCAACCTTTATTTAGACAGGTTAATCCCATTGAGCCTCGAGGACTCATTTACAAGAGAGACCTGATTTCAACAAAGAATGATGAAACCCAAATGGCTCTGCCAAGATGAATCCCACCTGAACTGAATAACCCGACCACTGTTCAAACAAAGGGGTTCCTCGTCTGCAGCCTCAGGTGACTTGGGGCGCAGAGATGAAAAAACAGGACACCCTTTTGGGAAAACTCCACAAGTATCGTACTTGCCGCCGTACATGTTGCACCGCCGTCTAGGTCTCATCAGTCCAAAAATGTCTAATAAAATGGGAAAAAACAAACATGTCGCTTCGTCGTATAAGTCGCATCTATTACGTGTCACTGCTGACGCGTCGTCACTGCTGACAAACCGGAAACATGGGCCGGTGTTGCGCCAAAAATCGAATGGCTGTCAAATGGCGGCAGCGGGGAGCGTGTACGGGAGGACTTTAATAAGAACTGAACAAGATTAACACAAAATCAATTATTTGTTTGCTTGACATTACAGTAAAAGGTCAGTCCTTAATAAATGCATTTTAACGGTCAAATCAGCTGCATTTCAAAAGCCGATTCGCAGAAGCGGGAGTGTGCAGAGGGACAAGTCGCTGTGCATTTCTTCAAAATTTAACAACTATTGCTGAATAACTTGATGAAACAAACAGCTGAAATAAGCTAAAAACATGCTGAAATGTAGCTGAAAAAGAACAAGCCTAAAAGAAAGCAGAAAGAACACATATTTGCTGAATTTGGTTTAAATCTGCATAAATGAGAAAAAAAAATAGTAAATCAGCTCTAAAAGCTGAAATTAGCAAAACAGAGCTGAAAAGTAGCTGAAAATGTAGAAAGAAGCTTAAAATGGCAGAAGAAAGTGGAGAGAGCACAATGTTGCTGAATTAGGCTGGAAAAGGCTTAGATGAGTGCAAAAACTGTGAAATTAGCTGAAAAAGCTAAAATTTGCATAAAACAGCTAAATAGTATATGTAACAAGCAAAACTAGCATAACTACTAGTAGGCTGAAAGGAGCATAACAAGTTGAAATTAGCAGAAAGAAGTTAATTAGGCTGATTGTAGCAGAAATTACCACAAAAAATATATTTATCTGAAAACAGCTTAAATTAGCTATAAAATACTAACAAGCTAACGGAAAAGGTAGAACAAGCTTCAATTAGCAGAAGAAAGTATGAAGAACACATTTGCCCAGTTAGGCTGAAAGAAGCAGAAATGAGCACAAAAAAGTAGAAAGCATCTGAAAAAAGCTGAAATAAGCAAAAGAAAAACAGCTGAACAGTAGCTAAAAAGCTGAAAGAAGTTTAGATTACCAGAAGGAAGAGGAGAGAGCACATTTTTGTTGAATTAGACTGAAAAAAGTTAGAACAAGTGCAAAATATGTAGAATTCGCTGAAAATGCTAAAAAATAGCAGAAAAAGCTGAAAATTGCATAAATACGCTGAAAGGAGCACAACAAGCAAAAATTAGCAGCAAGAAGTTGGAAGAAGCACAAAAATATTGTAGTTGGCAGAAACAATCTAAAAGGATCACAAAACAGCAGATGGCTAAAATTAGTTGATAATAGCTGAAAAAAAAACATTAAAATTTGCACAAGGAAGCTGAAAAAAGCTGAACCAGAACAAAATGTAAAAGGAGCAGTAAAAGTTGTAAACAGATCTAAACAGAAGAAGGAAGTAAAATGAGCTCAATTCATTTCCTATGAGGAAACAGTGGCAGAAATGGCTAAATATTTCAAAAAGCTAAAGTTGTACCAATACCAAAAGTCAAAGCACCATTCTCCTGAAAGAGCCGAATGTTTTGATATAATATTTGTTGAAATAGCACAAAAATTGTGGAACAAAAAAAGATGCCAAAAAACGTACAGAAGAAAAATGGATCACAATAGGGTGATCACTATTGGGTAAAATAAAATTGGACTATTACACACTTCTATAAAAACATAAATGGCATTATTATTATAATCATTATTATAAAAACATGAGCAAGGCTTTAAGATCTGAACAGTTATTCTAAAGCGCGTTAGACTCAAAGACGCATCTTAAATTAAAAATCATTTTCAAGTAAGGCAGGCGATCCCATTATTTTAACGTGAACAAAACAACTGCGTGACTGAGAGGAAGTTAACGAGAAACAAAAAAACTAAGCAGCCAGTGGAAGTTTAACTGTTTACCTGCAGAGCGAGGTCTGAAACCACCTGTCTCTGTTTCAGGTTGGTCTCTCCATCCAGGTTAGCCGTCTCGATGTAACAAACCCCATGGGGGTCAGAGGAATACAGCAGCAGCAGGTCAGCCGGGATGATTTCATTACAGGACAGATGGACAAAGTCTCCGACCCGCACATCCTTCCAGCACCGGTCCAAGTAGGATTTCTGCTTGCTGAGGGACAAAGAAGAAAATGAATTACTTCTCAATATAAGTGCAAAGACAAAAAAAATATATATATATATATATATGATTTTTGGTGCTGAGGAGCTACTGCTCAGCTATTTTACACTAATCTATTGTTTAGTTTGGAATAAAGGTGCAACACATTAGCCCCACCGTCTTAGGCAATATATGCATTTTGACCTATTTCTCATGAGATTTTGAAAACCTTCCAGTTCTATTGCTCTGTGATAATTTGATTAAGCTAGTAAGCAAATACAGAAATAAAATTAATTAATTATAATAAACTAAACTTGCTGAGCTACACAACATAAAATAATATTACACATTCTGATCCATTCATGTGTGATGTTTTATAAACCAGATTAACTCCACTTGAAGTGAAAATGTTTTGCGTTTTTTTCACGAGAGCAAGTCGGCTTTCTTCAGAGAGACGAGTTAGTTTCTAAGAAACGTGCACTTGTTCTGTGGTTAATTTTTACCCTCCCTGACCCGACAACCTCTCCAGGTAATAAACAGCCTGATGGCTTACAGTAGACAAAAGAGTTCATCCACAACATTTGTATTTACAATCATATGTTACTCCATTATCACTACTGTGAAAGAGAACGTTAGGCGTGTGTAGGAGCTACGGGGACACCGTGTACAAGAACAGAAGCACACATTTTGTGGATTTGTTTGTTTCGCTTCTTTTTTTTTTTGCACAGAATGACGAGTCCTGGCAAGTGGAGGGGGCATTCTTATCCACCACTAGACACAATGGTGGAGCCAGGGGGTGGACAACGGTGGCCTTAGCCACCAATTTTTTTTTTTGGACATCCAGTTTGGCAATTCAGCTTTTGATAGTAACCATTCACACAATGCTTTATTATTATTATTTTAAGTTATCCAGCTCACAACGTTTACATATACACTTATGTGGCAACAGCCATCTTGGATTTTGACATGGCAACCCAATTATCAAAAGGAACCTTTATTACACTTAAATATCGCTGCACACAAAAAGTCATTACTTATTTTTCAAGCTATCGTGCTCACGGACAGACAATATTTCCAATTCCCCGTCTTTGCTCTGCAATGGGAGACAAAAAGACTGATGGCCGTTTATTCCCGCGACCCAAAAAGGCAGACGCAGGTAAAAGAAGATGGATAGATGGTAGGAAATCTAATCTACTGATAAAACTGATTATCTCAATAGAAAGAAATAGTAATTTGACAAAAACAGTTTCAAAAGTTCTAGTTATGATGGGCTAAGAAAAGATTGGAAGAGTTCAAAGTTCATGTTTACGATTACTCCACTTTATTAAATTACAATATCTGTAGCACTTTTCGTGAATCAGAGGAATTAAAACTGATACTTCTGTCAGAACAGCTGCGAGCATTGTGTTCTCTACAGACAAGAATTAAAAGGTTTAGGGAAGTTTCTGAGTTCTGCATCAAATCACCAGAAGCCACTTATAGAAAGGTTCATTGACCGACAGGTGAAAAAAGTTCGACCTGAATATTCTGATCTACAATAAGTTAATTTAATAAGTTTTAAAATATATTATATTTAAAAAAAAAAAAGTCTAAATTATAGGGATGACTAAAAGACGAACTCCAAAAACCGAATACGCTTTCTGAAAACTTGATTAAAATTCATCAAGAGCTGAAACATTTGGATTCATCTTAGCTCTTTACGTTCATTGGTCATTTCTTCTAAAAACATTGAAGATCTTATAAATACATCTGCTTTTTTTTTATTAACGTCACACGTGATCGTTGTAGATTCATCGTTACCTTTTAGCTTCCTTGCACACAAGTTCTGATCGCAAAAAAAAAAAAGGTTTATTCTCAATATTTTCTTGAAACGTTTGATTTGTTCTCGTTTTTTTCAAGCTCCATTTTCTTCAAACCGCATGTTAGAACAACGCCGTTCAGCTCGGAAGAACCAGGAGAACAAACATCGCCTCCTACCTGCAGTAAACCTGACAGAGGAAACCGTTGATAAAATGATCCGATTTAAACCTCCGGTAGTCTTCAAAGACGTCTTTGATGGCTGTAACTGACAGCACCAGCAGAATAGGAATGACTGAAATCTCCGGCTCGAAGGCCTCCACTACTGGAACAAAGTTTAAGGCGGCGAGGAAGATGAAGTAGATGTTAGCAAAGCGATGAAGCTGCTCGAACAGGTTCTTGGGCAGGAAGGACAGGAAGGAATACTTTGTGGTCCGAATCTTGTTGCTTTTGTACAAAGTCAGGAGTTGTTTCAGCTCCTCATCCTCTGTGGAGGAAGGTCCAACTGTCCTCTTCTTCCTCAAGCGCTCCTTCGGAGAGTTAGGATGCAGTCGCTCCAAGCTATGCATGAGTCTACCACTGCAGTGGGATCAAACCTGCCGATTCGAGAGTCAGAGGCTTCGGCTTCCTGTCGATCGAGCTCTTATCCAGCCTGTACCACTCATCTGGTTTCATACTGTTCCTTTCTTAACCTGGTTATTCTAATGTGGACTCTTTGCCACATAATATTGAAGTGAAGAACAGAAGCAAGAGAAAAAGTTCAAGTAAAGACTACCAGGTGGATGTGGCTTTATCGCCACTCCTCTACTGAGCAAACTCAAGGTTCAGCTTTTACAGCTGCCACAAAAAAAACTTAGATTACATAATCGTATATAGGTGGAAGGAGCGTCACAGCAGCAAATCCACAAACTGTAACTGGAAGAAACCATAAAAGCAGAGCAGCTGATACGACTTCCTGATTGATCAATGGATCGGAATGGAACATTTGTATGGATCGGAAACCAATAAATCAACTCTTTAGACCACGTGTCAAACTCGAGGCCCGAGAGCCAAATATGGCTCATGTTTACATCTTATCTGGGCCCCAACATTATGTTTTAGAAGTGCAATGTTTTTTATTGCTTCTTATGAGTATACGGTACTTTATTTAGTGCAGACTTCTCATGACAGTTGACCAACTCTGAACCCCCCCACCCCCACCCCCCCAACAAAAAAATAAATAAATAAATAGTTGGAATTTTTCAGTAATCTTTGATTTTGATGCAGAAAAACCGACAGAGAACGTCAATTTAGACCAAGAAAAGATGTTTGGTATCTGATTGGAGTTAATGTATTCACTGAAACTAGCCCTTATTTTGAATGCGTTTTTTCTGATCCAAGTTCCAAGATGGCCGCGCTCAGTCGAGTCGCAGCTTCACAGGCTCCCGGTGAACTCAATCTTTTTTTATTCCCGTTTTTGTTTTAACCTTTTTTTTTTTTTTTGCGCCTACAATGCACATCCCCGGTACGGGTATCACCGTGACACACTCGTGGAGTTTTCTGTGTCGCTGTCTTGCCATCGTGGTTCAGTCCTTCCAGCCTCGGGCGCAGGCCTGTCATGGCGGCTGTCTCCATGATCCTCCATCTGCCTGATCGGACCAAACTCTACGGATCCGTTTGGTTCCGCAGGGAAACCTGGATGTTCTCCGTCTGCCGGACCCAGTTCTAGAGGGCTGTCTGGGAGGGCAGCTGCTGCAGTCATTGTTACCATAGGGGTACTGACGGGACCTGCTAACTAGACCTGCTAACCTGCTAATGCTGCTAACATGATCCTCCATCTGCCTGATCGGACCTAACTCTGCGGACCGCGCTTGGTTCTGCTGGGGAAACCTTGAATGTTTTCTGTCTTCTGGACCTGGTTCTGGAGGGGCAGTCTGGGAGGCAGCTGCTGTGGTCCTTATTATCATCATGCTGCTGAAGGGACCCGCTAACAAGACCTGCTAACGCTGCTAACAACACCCCGCCGCTAACAGTATCATGCTGCTAACTGGACCATGTTGCAAAGATAACCTCACTGTCATCAGAACCACTCTGCCAATAGGACCATGCTGCTGCAGATTTATTTATTTTTCACTTTTGGTGCCTTGTTTCTGTATTTTTGTTGCATGCTTTGAATGAATCCTAGTTTATGTTAGTTTAGTTTATGTTAGTACTCGCATTAAGCGTGTAAATTATAGCTTAACAAGTCATATATTTATTTATAGAGCACAATTTAAAACATAGACTGTTATCAAAGTGCTTAACACTAATGGTAACACTAAGAAATAAAAAGCAGTAAGAATATACCTTAAAAAATTAAAACAACAGCATTAAAATGAAGACATGGAACAAGATATACTAAATCAACTCACACAGTATGAAACGCCAGAGATAACAGATATGTTTTTAGCAGGGATTTGAACACCGGAAGGGAGGTGGCATGCCTAATGTTCGGGGGTAGGTTGTTCCACAGTTTGGGACCCATGACTGAAAACGCCCGATCTCCTCGGAGCTTCAGTCGTGTTTTTGGAACAACCAAAAGCAGCTGATCGGATGATCTCAGATCCCGAGAGGGAACATATGGTTCCAGTAGCTCAGAGAGGTAGATGGGTGCAAGGCCATTTAGGCGCTTATAGGTCAGGAGGAGAATTTTGAAATCAATCCTAGTTCTCACAGGAAGCCAGTGTAGGGAGGACAGAACTGGTGTGATGTGCTCATACCTCGGTGTACCGGTTAAGAGCCGAGCTGCAGCATTCTGGACGAGCTGTAGCCGTGAGATAGAGGCCTGGCTGGCTCCAGCATACAGTGAATTACAATAGTCCAGGCGGGTTGTGATGAATGCATGGACTAGTGTCTCAAGATCGGGTCTAGACAGCACTGGCTTGAGCTTAGCTACCTGCCGCAGTTGGAAGAAACTTCTCTGCAGAACCGAACTGATCTGTTTGTCGAACTTAAAATCCGAGTCAAAAACCACTCCAAGGTTTTTAACAGAGTGCTTCAGATAAGTCTGAAGGGAGTCCAGTTTCACAGGATAAGAGGCGGCAGCTGAGCTAGGGCTAAAGACAATGACTTCAGTCTTCTGGTCATTAAAACTTAGAAAATTTGAAGCCATCCATGTCTTAATGTCGTCCAGACATTTGAGGAGAGGGTGGACGGAACAAGCACTGGCTGGTTTCAGTGGCAGGTAGATCTGACAGTCATCGGCGTAACAATGGAATGGAATACCATGTTTTCTTAGGATCGACCCCAGTGGAAGCAGATAGAGCGAAAATAGAAGGGGTCCGAGAATCTAGCCCTGTGGGACACCGCAGGAAAGAGGCATTGAAGTGGATGGATTTTTACCCACCTTCACACAAAAACTCCTGTCAGAGAGGTATGAGCGGAACCAGTCTAATGCAGCACGTGTAATCCCAACCCAGTGTTCAAGCCGAGAGATGAGGATACTGTGGTCAACAGTATCGAAAGCGGCAGTAAGATCGAGGAGTACAAGAGCCACAAAATGACCAGAATCATTTGCTGTTAAAATGTCATTACAAACCCTAACCAAAGCTGTTTCGGTGCTGTGGAGCTGCTTGAAACCAGACTGAAAGACCTCAAAGATTTTGTTCTCAGTTAAAAACTGATTTAACTGAGTAAAAACTACTTTTTCCAGGATTTTGGACAGAAAGGGGAGTTTTGAGATTGGTCTGTAATTTGAGCAGGCTGAAGGGTCAAGACCAGGTTTCTTAATTAACGGTGTGACTACTGCATGTTTGAACGCCTCTGGGACCACGCTTGTAGCAATACTACTGTTTAGTATTGTTAGAACAGCAGGCCCAATCGCTGGTAGAACCTGTTTGAACAATGCTGCAGGGATGGGGTCCAATGGTGATCCTGATGGCTTCATGTGACCAGCAACTTTGTTTAACAATGGGAGTGTGATTGGTTTGAATTGCCTGAAAGTAGCAGAACACGAAACAAAAGCTGATGGGTCGACTAAGGAGCGGGAAATGGAGGCCCTGATCAACTCCACTTTGTTACCAAAGAATTTAGTGAAGTCATTGCAGGTGTCAACAGAGGCCTCCATACATGAATACGAAGGGACGTTTAGAATGGAATTTACTGTTGTGAATAGGGCGCGGGGGTTGTGTCTATTTGAGATGATGAGTTGAGAAAAATATTTGTTTTTTTTCAGATTTGACAGTGTTCTGATAATTTTTTTAACAGGTTTTGAGAAAAATGAAAGAAACCTGGAGTTGGTCCTTTTTCCACCTGCGCTCAGCTCTCCTGCACAGGCGTCTCGCTGCCCTGGTGGTCTCATTCATCCATGGGTACTGGGCTCTCCTTGAACAGAACCTATGAGAATCGTGCTGCTGTTGTTCAGTGTATTGTTTCCATCTTAGATCTTTTAGCGTACCGTTTGACGTTTGTTTAGCGTATATCTTGGTTTATATTTCAGATCCTTATTTACTTTTCTTTTACATTTTATATTTTTGCTATTGTTTGATGTAACTGGGACTCTGTGTACAGTTTTGTTCCACTACATGTACCACATGTGATGCAAAAGACAAAGAATCTCTGACTGATGAGACTGATGAACGCCAAGGGCGTTCCCAATATGAGACACTCGTCAGTGTTTCCTCTACAATACTTGCCTTGGCAGGGCGCTCACCTCTTCCGTGATTTTTGTCAACAGGGTGCTCGGTTCTGTTGACAGGGCGGTGCGCCCTGCTTGTATAATGGTAAGGGAAACACTGCTCATGCTACTCAAGAGAACCAGAGTTATGACGATAACCTAAAGATTCCCACCTACAGCACAGATGCAACTCGAGGTCACTCCTACGCGATTGTTTTTTAACATTTTAATACATTTTAAGTAAGCTACAGCTGCCACTTTTAATTAGCCATGATGACCACAGCTCCACATTCGTGCCACTTGGAAAATTGTAAACTTGTGGATTTGAATCAGCTCCTGAGGTTAACTCACCCACAGAAAACTCGCACCACGTTGTTGTTGACCTTCTTGTCGAACAGGTAGCGTCTGTAGTCTTCGAGCGCATCTTTAATAGCGATGACTGTAAGAACCACGAGCAGAGGAATCATGGTGATCTCCTTCTCAAAGGCTTCCACCACTGGCACCCAGTTGAGCAGCGCCAGGAACAGGAAATAAATGTTGGCCACCCTGCAAACATCAGAGCAGCACATTAGTTTAGTAAAACTAGAAGGTGTGTGAGGTGCAAGTCCAAACGGCCTGCGGGGACAGAGCGAGACCAGGTTCAAAATGTAAGATATTCCAACAAAAATCAACGGAGCTGAACAGGATGATTCAAGATTTTTAAGACAAAAAACTATTTCAAGATTATCAATAAGAGCATTATTGGAGAACAGCTAAATCAGAAAGAAAAGTGGTCAATGTATTTAAACAGAAACATCCGTCCATTATCCGTTTTTGTGATTTTTTTTTTCTTCCTAAAACTCTAAAACCAGCTGTTAAGTTTTTCTTAAAATTGTCCTATTCATCCGAACCTTAGACAAAAGACATAATTGACCATGACCTGCCAACATAAAATGAGCAACGTTTACAGTTAAACAGATTCAGGATATCAAAGTCTTAGAAAACACAAAAATGGATGTAACAGTGAATTTGACAGCTGAGTCATCTCCGTCACAAACTCCAAGTGATAAACTGCAGATCTTTCTTTAAAACGTTCACATGTAGGATGGAAAGCAATATGCATTCATTCAAGCAATGCTAGTTTCAATCAAAATGAGTTAATTTATTAAAAAGACCTTTTGATCAGCAGTTCTTCACTTTTCCAGAAAACTTCGCTGCCCAACCCTTCATTCACACGAACAGCAACAGAACGAGTCAATGATTCATTAAACATTAGCCACAAAATGTACTAAATAATATTTCTTTCAATATTTAATTTCATATTATCACATTATTTTAGCATCATAGATTTACATCATCGTGCATCACGATTTTTGAGCAATATCAGATCATTTCATAAGACTATTACTTCAAAGGAAATTCGGAGGTTGCCAGCTGCTTCAAATCACGCAACACAAAAGAATAAAAATCAATAAATGGATAAGTGAGAATAAACAAAGAATCAAATGCAAGGAAGTAAAATGAGCTAATGAGGCACTCAGTGGCTCCAACTAAAGATAGACTGATTAATTAGACGATATTAGCCCTTTATTTTCTTAAATCTGCCATCAGCCACGTCTTACATACTTGACCTTCCTGCTGTCCTCGGGTCAAAATGACCTATGATGGATGTTTTGTAGCAGGAGGGTTAATTAATTACCAAACAGAAAAATAAAGAAGCAGTAGCCGCTGCAACAACCAGCTGTAGGCCACAATTTTTATTTTTTTAAAGTAAGAACCCTCTAGTACAGTGATCCTCACTATTTTTTTCAAAAGAGCTATACTGACAGATCAAAGTCAAGGGGAGAGCAGCGATATCACCCCAAGTTACTCAAATAAAAGAAAAATATTGAACAAACTATGAACAAAAAAGAATCAGCCAGCACATTATCTGTTTAAACAAAATGTACCTTAGGTGCATGTCCTTGACTTTCTTCATGTTGTATTTGTAATTTGTTGCTGCAACCACAGTGAGGCATTCAAGACGGGCATGGGTCAGTCAGTTTCTCTGTTTTTTAAAGATAGTGGTCATGGTTGAAAATGTTGACTCACGTGTGTAAAAATTTCAGCTTTTAGCCGTTACCCCAATCCCATGAAGAAAACACAAGTCAACAATATGAATACCAAAGTCCATGCTCAGCAATGAATATGCTGCAATATGTGTACGGATGAAGATACGCCCTTTACATTTCCGCCTGCCCCCTCATGTAACCATGTCTAGAACCGGCCCTGTAAGATGCTACTTCCTTCACCGCGGGTGACAGCAGGTGCGGAGACGCGCGCCGATCCATCTGAGATTAACAGGACATTTTTTACGTCTTTGGACCGGTGGGTCAGCGGACGTGCGCGGCTGTTGATGATCAGCTGATCCATTTGAAGCTTAACAGGACTTATGTTTGACCTCTACCGGCCGGTCGGACCTGCCTCCTCCTCAACAAGTAGATTAACACATTATACGTAAAACCGCATCAAAGAAGCCCGAGCCGACATGCGCAATTATTGCGCAATGCACCAGCACGTTTTAAAAATGCACTGACTGTGCTGGTGTATTGTTGTAACCTGTCTCGGGAGCCGCGCAATGAGCATCCCTGCTCTAGTACATATTCAAGGTTCAACGTTTTTATTGTCATTCTCATCACATGTGGTACATGAGGTGGAACAAAATTGTGTACTCAAGGTCCCAGTTACAACCAAAAATAGCAAAAATATAAAGTATAAAAAGAAACAGTATATAAGGATCTAAGATAAATGCTGATATATGCTAAACGATACGCTAAAAGAGCTAAGATATATGCTTAACACTAATAATGTAGAATAATATGGTATATTAAACAGCAGCCAGAACATGAGTCTGTAGTGAGCAGATGGGTACGAATAATGATGGTGCTGGTATATTGATTTGAAACGTTCAAGATCTTTTAAGGAATGTTGATTACCAGTATGTGTTTATTTAAGTTATTTTACTTTCAATCTTTGCTTTGAAATTTGGAAACTTTTTTTTTTCCTCCTTTCATTAGTCACAATCAAATCAAAGAGCTTGAACAATCCATTAACATTTAGTATTTGATGGCCATGTCTCAAACAGTCCACCCTTGTCTCCTCACAGCTCTAACCGCCTCATGTCATGAAAAGGGCTCCAATCTAAAATAATTCATTTTGTACTTTCAATGTTTACATCGTAGCAACTGACCTGTGAAACTGCTGGAACAAGTTCATGGGGATGAAAGTCAACAAGCTGTATTTGGTGGTTCGGATCGCGTTGCCCTTGTACTTTTCGGACACAGCCTCGTATTCCTGTTGGCGGGGGCCATGACGGGCGAGCACCGTCCTCCTCCTTCCACTGACCCTCTGTGGGGAGCTGTGGGTGTCCAAATAGTTTTTGCTCGGGAGGCCATCAGGCGGGGAGTACCAGCCTCGCTCCGAGTCTCTGGTCAGCAGCTGTCGACAGCGATGCTGCACCCAGTGGAAGCGCTCCATCTACGCAGCCGGGCCCCCCTCCTCAGAACCCTCGTCCTCCTGGACTCTCACAATGTCCTCCTTTGGTAGAGACAAAAAATAAAAAAGTTCACAACAATCTCATGAAAAAAACAACAACTTGGTGATTCAGTTCCTCGATTCGCCTGCATGACAACCTAAAAGAAGGAACTCGGATGATTTCTCAGCTCTGAACTTTCAGCCATTAAAAAAAACAAAAACAAACATCCATTGTCAACAAAGCATAGTTAGTACTGATGACAGCGAAGGAGCGTTTGAGCCTTCCTCACTAAGAAAAGCTGCTCTAAATCTTAAACTTTAACACTTTTATAGCTTTTTCTCCACTCAAACATGATTTTCACCTGACCAAAGGAACCTTTCGAGTAGGCCTGTCACGATAACAAATTTTGCTGGACGATTAATTGTTTCAGAAATTACTGCAATAAACGATAACATTGTTTGAAATTTGACAATATTTAGTAATTATCGTCAAATTTAAGAAGAAATGTTAGTTAATTTGTTTTGCGTGTAGAACCTTTTTATAACCACCAGATGGCAGTACAAGACTGTTTGAATGGAAGGATGGATAGTGAGGGAGCGAGCAGCGCATCTCTAAGAAAAATGGGAGGGAGGCACCTTGACGTGATATGGGCTGTCTCTCTTTGGTTCTCAAAATGGCGAACGCTCAGTGTGGTTTGAGCTCTTTAGTATAGCATTTTTCACACAATGCTTTTAATTAAGAAAAAAAAAATCAGTAAACAAGTTCTCAGCTTCTTTTTGCAAAGAAAAACAACTTGGGTAGCTCTCCCGCAAGCACCTAGTTGCCTAGCCTTGGCTAAAAAAATGGCAGTAAGCATTTTCCCTATGTGTCCACCACCTGTGGACAGAGCCACCTAGGAGGTCAAGTGCATTGCAAGCAGTGAGACGGTAAGGGCAGGTCCCTGGGCATGATGGTAACACACAATGACTGCAGTTACGTTGAAAGTCACCTATAAATCATTCAGGCATAAAAGACTCCTAAACCCAAGGAATAAACCAGTGTTGTGTCAACACATAACCCACAACTTAGCAAAGGACCAATTTTAAAATGGAACTTGTCATGAAAGACAATTTGTTCCCACTTACTTGCTGGATTTCTAAGAAAATTTACAAAAGAAAGCTGTTTGGACAGACAGAAAATAAGATTAGCACCAGTAAGGTGAGTTTTAAAAGAGCTGCTATCTAAAAACAGGTCATGCAGGTAAAGGAGGATGAATCTCAGGTATTTGATGGGTTTGGACTTCCAGGACACTGATTTGGCATACTGAGACACACCAAGTTGCAGCTACATGGACTGGACATGAAATAAGTGAGTTTTGGCAGACAATCATCTTGGTTTACTTCTGGTATTTCGGATTTAAGCTGAGCTGCATTTGGGGACAAGTTTTCTTTGTTACATAAACACAAAACTCAATTTTACACATACTCCTACTTATGTAGTCAATCTGTTAAATGTCCGTCAAGGACAATCAAGCAAACAAAGCTAGAATTAAAACACAGTGCTCCAATGTGGAGCGTTTAAGAACAGTCGGCGTGAGGCCTGCGGTTCTGAACAACAAAACAAGAATAGCTCGGACCTGCATTCGCGTCTTTTCTTGGAAAATATTTGGTAAAATATCTAGTTACCCGTTTTTTTGTTCTCATTTGCTGCCTGGTTGTCGGCAGCAGCTGAAACGCTTCGGTCACATCTCTCTGGAGCTGCGGGCGACTCGAGACTTAACCAGGATGTGAAACGAGTCTGAGGAAGGAAGCGACACTTTAGGTTCTCATCTCACTTTTTGTTACCAGGTTTTTCCATAATAAACAGTCAAACTAAACCGGGACATCTCGCTAGTTTGTGGGACAAACAATAAGACAGCTCCGCTCTTCGGATAAATAATGAATAACGCTGTGCTTTTCGTCTATTTTTAGCACGCGTTGAGAAGGCGTTAAGGTGACTAGGAGCATTTCCGACTGCCCATGAACGCAGCTTGGTCAGTCATGTGACTGAAGTCAGCTGACCAGAAGCGGCAGCGGAACTGAATGAAAACATGACGGATTTACTCAACAGAATATCTAACACGGATTGTACTAAAGTAAGGGTGAAATGCTTCTTAAATATAATTGGAAATCTTGAATGTATGTTTAAACAACAAAATTTTAAAAATATATATGTTTTAGTGTGTTTATTGTATTAAGAAACAAACGCTCGTCACGTTTCCAACTACTGAATTTTGCAAATATGTTCCATCTAAAAATTATTAGTTTGTTCAGAGATTAAAAGACAAACAAACACAGAATCAAATGATTATTTTTTTAATTAGGTGTTTTTTTTTTAAGAGGGGACTACATGACTGGTGAGGTGACTGACAAATAAATTTGTAAATATGCACACATGTATTTATTCCATTAATGTAAATTATCGTCAGAAGTCGATTCAGGAGGGATTCAATCTCTAAATTAGATCAAATGTTGCTGAAAATCTTAAGATCCACGGCCGCAGAGTCTCTGAGAAACAGCAATCAAAAATGTGATTATGATGACTGCAGTTTTGGACACCTGAAGGGATGTTTCCAGAAAAAAATGACAAAACAAGACAAAGCTGAGACAAAACTTTAAATACTTTGACTTCAGGCAGTTTGTGAGGCTTATTGTGTGAACAATGATTTAGCCACACTACTATTTTCTTATTTTAATAAATATTTCAAAGGTCCTTGGAAAAGATTGTTGCCCCTGAAATATACTTCAAAATACATGCTCTTTTTTATGCTACTTTTAGTTTATATCTACAATTCGGCTTTTAGCTATTATCTACTGTTCTGCTACTTCTTATTTGTAGCTACCATTCTGCAACTTTTAGCTACTATTCTACTCATTTTAGTTTTTAGCTATTATTCTACTCATTTTAGTTTTTAGCTACTATTCTGCCTCTTTTAGTGTTCAGTAGCCGTTTGGTCCTTGTAGCTTTTAGCTACTATTCTGACACTTTTAGCTTATATTTTGCCATTGTTGTGCAGAATGAGTGTTTTACCACTCAGCTGAATGCTAACCTTTGATGGTCAGTGTTTGCTGTTCAGTTGTGTCACAGGGTGGTGGATGGACTTTGTGGCAGGGAGCCTCCTTGCAGGGCAGATTACAGCGCCACCTGGAGCCTGCAGGAGTGGCTGCAGCTGCAAGATTTCCTGACAGCTCTGTTCCGTATCGCCGTTGGCAGCAACGTTTCAGACGAGGAGGTAGGTGAAAAAGCCTGATTCATCTAAAACTGGTCGGAAGACGAGTGAGAAGGTCGAAAAACTAAAGGCACCATTTTAACAATAAACACTGAAAAGTAAACAGAATAAAGTTGAACAATGAGTTTTATGGTTGGTTTTATTATCAAATTCACTTTTTAAATGCTATGTTTTGTCACAACCATTAGAGTTAAATAAACTGACTGTGTGTGTGTACGAAGTGTCTTCAGTTGCTGATTAAATCTGCTCTGAGATCAGATTCTTACTCTCATCCTGCTGGATGTGTGCAGGTTCTGACCAAGCTGTCAGATGTGAACAGCAGCCATACAGAGGCCGTGCTGAGCGTCCTGAGAGCTCGGCAGGAGGAGATCCGCCGCGCTCTGCTGAACAGAACCAACAACATCTCCTCTGCTACCCTGCAGGACTTTGACTGGCAGCTGAAGGTAACTCATGTGGACCAAACCCAAACGTTGTCAGAATCTGCCTTCGCCGAGCGCCTCTCCACTTTCAAACCTCGCTTCCTCTTCTCTCTGCAGTTAGCTCTGTCCAGCGATAAGATCTCGTCTCTCAACACACCTCTGCTCAGCCTCAGTCTGGATGTGAGGGAGAATGGAGCGCTTCGAACGGTCGCCGTGGAGATGAGCAGGGAGGAACTGAGCACGCTCATCAGTTCACTCGAGGCTGCTAATAAGGTACAAAAAAATATATACTCCAACATGCTGAAGGTGGCACCTTATCAACATGTTGCTCTGTTTGGTGGAAGATGACACGATTTCTTTACCCACAATGCAATGCTGAAGCAGGTTTTATGGTAGCACAGAGGCTGATGTTTCACATTTTGTAACTTGGGTGTTTAGTTTAAGTCAACTAAACCAAATTCTTTTAAACTACGATTAGTTTAAACACTTGGTGGCAGCAGTGTCAAAGAAAAAAGTGTTAGTTTATTTAATGTGGAGTTAAAAGGCTGTTTGTTTCAGAACAGATACAATGTGTTATTTTACTAGTTTTAATTTGTTTGAATGTATGAATCTTTCTTGATATAAAATAAATCATCTGTGTGTTTTTTAATGACTCATTTGACCTTTATGTGTCTTTCAGGTGGTGCTGCAGTTGAAATGATGGACCAATAAAACACTGCTGTTGTTTATGACGTAATAATGATTTAACGCAAGGTGTTCGTTTTGTAATGTATTCTTTCATTGCTGCTGTGAATAAAAATACATTTTCCTCTCATTCTGCTGGATTTGTAGAATTTGTTCAGTCCTCTTGTGAATTTGTTCTCACAAATCAAATGTTTCATTGTCCAGTAACGCCTATATGGTAGTTATTACACCCGAGTTTCTTAACTTTCAGTCAAACTAGTTTGTTAGAAAAGTATGGCATTATTTTGAAAGCAGCAGTGTTCACTTGAAATAAAATAACTCCTGAAATACAAACCTGGGTGAAGCAGCAGAAGTTGTTCTGGGTGAGTGAGGAGCATTTGTGTCCACAGTTTGGATTTCAAATAAATTAAACATCCAAGCATTTGATTATTAATGAGAATGGACACAAACTCTGACAGATGAAGTCATGTTAAACGTGTTAAAGGTGTTCATTTTCACAGCAGAGCATCAAGTTGATCAAGTTTGAGAATGAGCCTCTATCCTGACAGCTGCAGACCTGAGAACTGGGCCGACAGGATCAGCACATTCCTAATACAAACTTTACATAAAGATGTGGCAGAAAATGCAGACAGAGCTCACTTTGACACAATTACAGATGTTTGATTTTAGGTTTTAGTTCTTAAAGAACTCGTGTTTGTACTTATCACCTGCAGCTGAAGGCAGATTAGAACTGTCATTTGTAACCCGGAGCCCAACCCAGATTAGAGCCGGGCCATAATAATGTGTGGGCCGGTGTCGGGCTTTTGATTGCGTCAGCGGACATGCGCGGCTGACAATCCAATTATATAGCAACATGGCTTGACATACATCACCAGTCGCATGCGGTCATTTGATCGCGCACTGACCGGCCTTGAAAAAGGTAAAAACAAAAAGTACAATTAAGCTTCAGTTGGGGCAGAAATAAGCGAAAAGCACGTACAAAGCAAATTGATATGAAATGGACGTTCATTCTGCTGCTGCACTCAGCCGACACGCACGGCCGACGACCCAAACAGGTGAGATCCCAAAATATCTGACATGTCAGAGCAGGGTCCATGTCTGAATAATGCAGAATGCAGGCAGAAGCTGGAATTTAATACGCTTTGACAAACACTCCCTCAGCTCCGATCTTCTGCCCCCTTTTATTCAGCCACGCACATCCGCCAACCAATAATAACTAGCGGTCAAAGCTTAATTAAAAATGTTGGGGGGGCAGGGGGGTGGTTGGATCTGTAATTACTGTTAATTCTTTGGGTCAGGTGTGATTTGGAAGTGATGGCTACGGGGTGGGGCCGGGTTGGATTTTTGGGGCCCGAATACAACTCTACTAAGGCAGAGCTGTAGTTTTAGCAATCTGTCTCAGAAACCACTGGACAGAGTTTAATGAAGGGAAGCGTCAAGTCAACAGCATACTGGACTACGGAGAGGAGAACCACTTCATCATCAATGGAGGAAAAACAGCATTCTCGACTTTTGCAAGAAGGCCCCGCCTCTACACCCCTTCACCAACAGTGGGATTGAAATGGAGATGGTAGGCAGCCACAACTTCCTAGACCTTCACACATCAGATCTGAGCTGGTCAGTGAATATTACAGTCACAAAAGTGATTACACTTAATCATACTGCTCAAGAAGGTTAGACAGGGCTGTCAACCCCTCACGCTGGCTTACAAGGGGCTGGTGGAGAGCATCCTCACCACTGGCATCGTACGAAAACACTACAAGAGGACAGAAATGCTCTGCAGAGAGTTGTAAAAAGAGCTGAAAAAATCATCAAGACTGATCGTCCAACCACGCATCATTAAGGACTCTCCACCCTGCCCACTTTCTCCTTAAACACAAAAGATTTAAGGAAAGGCAGATCAGAGAGCATCGACACACACAAGAGCAGATTTTATTACAGCTTCTTCCCTAAAACCGTCAGACTGATGGTAAACCTGAACTCTGTAGTGCAATTAAAATGAACGCACGTGGACAATATTTGTATTTTCAAGCATATTCATATTCTCAAGTGTAATATCCACTTGCTTCTGTGTCTCCAAGCTATGTTCTCAAAGTGCAATATCCTGTGCTGCTAATTTTATTTATCTGTTTTCTCCCCTCGAGCCCCTTCTTAGCTTAAATTCTACGTCTCACTGGTGAAATCTGCAAACAAAGACTAACTCTGAAACTTTCAGAAAGTAATCTTTCCCAATTTAAGATGGCCACCACAGCTAATCAACTTTAGCAAACACAAAAGTGGCTAAAAATAAGCCAGTTCCACAGATATAACTACAATTTGGAGTGGTTGTAGCTGAGAGTTACTTATATGTTCCAAACATTGCTCATGTGTGCTTAAAACTTTAACAATAAATGTTGCTATAAACCCTCCTGTTAGCAAAATATCTCTTGAACCATTGAAACTTTAACGCAGCTCATGAAGTAATCTGGATATTCTTCTAAAACTGATTAACTTGTGGAGTCAGACCAATTCAAGATGGCCACAGCAGCTTATTGACATCAGCCAATGCAAAAATAGCTGCAATTTTACAAATACTGAGCTAAAATCTGAAGTGGTGGTAGCTGAGAGTCACTTTAAACACATACTCCAAGGGATAATGCATCTTGCAAGATCTTAGTCCTTTTATATTGTCACAGCGGGCGATATGCATTTCATTCATGAAGTTTTTCCCCTTATAACAAATTTTGTGTTTGCTTTAAAACAAAACAACAAAACACCATTTTTCTGTCCAGATGTCAGCAGCTTTATTTAAACTCTGCTTGTTTTAATTCTCTATAAGTTGACAGGCGCTTCTTGCTTCAACACAAAGTCAGAACGTCCCTCCCACAACAAGCCGTTCCACTTCAGAGCACACATGTGAAGAAAACTGTACAGTTATTTTTACACAATAACACGTCCTCATCCTCTGCAGCCTGCAGGCAAATCTGTTGTTCGGAGTCCATTAGGCTCCTCCGTCCACACGAGACATGTGTCCATGTGTCCATCTGCAGCAGGTTCCCTAAAAAAAGCTTCAGCTGCTTCATTTTTTTACATTTATTTTCTGGATCAGGACTGAGAGATTGTCAACATGATGCTGGAATGTCTCACTACAACACATAATGATAGTTCACGGGCTCAGAAAAGAGCCATGAGTCCATTTCTGGTTGTCCCCTTGAACGTCTTATTCTACAAAAATACAGATGTTTGAGGTTCTACCGGCTGCAGTTAAACCCTGTGAAAAGATTTTCATTGTAAAGGCACAATTTTCATCTGACTCTGTTACTGCAGAGCCCTGTCTGGGTTTCTAGTCTGCTATTTTTATTTAAAGCCCTCATAAACATGTTTTTTTACGGGGGAAAACACGTCTCTGAGATGAGCTTTAGGTTTTAAAGGGAATAATGTGTGAAGAAATGTTTCAAAGATTTGAAGGACTTTAAAAACACATCAGGTTTTCCGTTTTTTTGCAAATAAAATAAATTATATTAATGAAAAATGTGAGAACAAAAAAGATGTGACATTTAAGCACCTGTGGACATATTTGAATAAAACTGTTAGAAAAAAAAAATCACTGAATGCATCTTTAACAATGATAATTTTTTGACTCAACTCATTTCAAGATGGACGCCACCTCTGATGAATAAAAATGAGCTCAGTCAGTTTTACAGATACTGAGCTAAACTTTGCTGTGGTAGTAGCTGAGAGTCATCCTCAATATACTCCAAACACTGCACATTTCTGCACATTGCACAATATTTTTGCAGACAACTTTGGCATTAAGCCCTGTCTGTTAGCATAATATCTCACAAATCACTAAAAAGGTTTTATTTAAACTGGCGTGCATTCGTTCTAGGCCTTTAACTGCCAGTGCGTCACATCATGAATTACAAATTTAACCATAAAAAACATGTTTTGAGAACTTGTTTCAGTAAGTATTTTAAGCTGCGTGTTGTTAGAAGAAGTGCAGGACAAAAATCGGAACATGAGTTTTATATTTGATCTCGATTTCTGGCTGCACAAAGCTTTGAAATGGCAGATATGATATTTTTTAAAAATTTTTGTAAATTCTGTTCTCTGCCATGTTGAACGATACAAATTAAACCAGGGTCTACTCTAATCCATGTCCTACAGACATCAGGGCTTGATCTTTGTGGTTGATGCTCTGTGATTTCTTAAAAAAAGCAAAATTATGTTTATGATCTCTGACATTTTGATAATGTTGCAAGAAATTTGGACGTTTTGGTGAAACATAGTCTCGTTTATCCAAAAAAGTTCAATCTGGTCCTCTGGACATTCAAAAAAAAACAAACAAACAAAAAAACGGATTCTACCTGGATTATTGAGCATGCATCAGGATAGTCTCGTTTACTAAAAATGGAAAGAATACATTTAATTTCAACACAAAAAACTGCAAAAATAAGCTTAGTTTATGTTGTGAGCAAACCATAAATTAAACAGTGAAGCACTGAAGGGTTTTATAACATCACCAGCTGGAGCACCGAGCTCAGACCAAGCAACAATAAAGGAGCATAAAGACGATAAATAAGTCAAACTTCTAAAATGCAGACAGAAGTCGTGTCCTTTCTGAACAACAATAAACCAGAGGTGGTAACTTGTCTGGTATCTAACACCCAGGCTCTGGGATGATGCGGCTAAAATGTCAGCAAATAAGATGAACTCCTGTTTTTAACAACTGTAAAAGCCCTTTTTACTAAAATAATGCCTTTGAAATCTTGGTTAAAAAAAAAAACTGTCAGTAAATAAAACTTTTAAACATTAACCCGATGACTCTGCCCATTTTGATTTTAAGAGGACAGAACATCATTAAATGAGCAAAGTCGTGACTTGTTTGACAGTTTCTTCTGGCTTTTCTCTAAAATCAACAATAGCTTTTTAACGCTGAACAAAGTGGAGACTTCTAGTTTGTGAGGCATTAAAACTGGATGTGACACAGACGTGATTATTCCTAATGACTTAAATAAAATCCTACTCCGACCAGCAGCTGACATAAATCCAAACCTTGACCAGTTTTTTTTTATTTGACACATTTTATGTATAATGAAATTAAACCAAGCATCCTGTTCATTTTAACTTTTTTTAACTTTGTTTTTGCACATCATCTTTTTTTTATCTTTTATTTTTATCTTTAAATCCCTGCATTCTTTTAAAATGCAAAAAGTGAAAGAACACAAAAAACTAAAATAAATAGCAGATTATTTTCCAAAACGTCCTGTTCGTAATTCTTATTTGGCATGTTGGACCTGTGAACACTGATTTTTACCTTCTTCAATATTTTTCTCTGGTTGTAAATGTAGCAATAGATTTTAATAAATTATATCTCTCTTATATTTTATGAAGCTTTATTTATATCTATATAGATATAAATATAGATATATTTATATATCATATGTTAAATTGTATTTACACTGTAAAGACCAATAATAGTTGTTCAAAAAGAGGATTTTAATTTTACACATGAACTGAACATTCCTGTTTCCATGTCTGCACAGGACCATTATTTTCTGAAACAAATAAAAAATAAAACTGCAGTGGTGCTGTCTCACATGCTCACTACCGCCGCCCTAGTGGACATAATAAAGCCAGTAGACCAGATTGAAGAAGGTGAAGGTGATAGGGAAGATGACCCTGGACCACTTGTCTATGGCGTTGACATCTGTGAGGTCCGGGATCTTGACTTTGAGCTGTGAGGCCCTCCTCCGTAAGCGGCTCTTCTTGTGTCCCATGGGTCGGTCCATGGCGGGTCGTCCGTAAAGGTCCCGGCTCGTCATCGGCTTACGGTACTGGATGCTGGCGCTGTCGTATGAGAACATGGTGGCGCGCGGGTCATTGAGTGCTCCCATCATATCTGGGCCACCCATCTCGGTGGATAGGTTCGTCAGGAGTATGTTTCCGTGAGCGTCAACCTTTGGAAAGATTCAATTATTTTTTTTAAAAAACTTTATGAACAGCAGTAAAATCGGCAGCACAATCCAGAATATAAAGCTGAAATTAGTTTATGTTTTAGTTTCTGAAGGCAGTTCTGTATATTCTCTTGAGTTTAAAATCCAAGAACAAATCAAACACATTTTCTCTTCTACCATTTCCAGGTTAATGCTACAGTCCACAAATTTTACAAACCAGCGCACAAAGCAGCATAATGAGTCGGTGGAGTCTGAAAATCATCTGTAAATGTTGATACGATAAACAGAAAGCTGCCATTTCAGCTTGATAGTGTGATGTGGTGATCAGGCCATGGGGTTTAAAATGGGAGATGTCCAACAAGCATTTGCACTTATCGTAATTTCCGGACTATAAGCCGCTACTTTTTCACACACTTTGAACACCACAGCTTATTCAAAGCTGCGGATATTTTATTAATTCTTTTTTTCACGGGCTAACGAGCTTCATGCTGCCAAAACATTTAGCCTCATCACACTCAGGCGCTCATATAGCTGACCAATACACATCTCTCTTGGGGTGTAGGTCCTTGTGACTCAGTGAGACTACCTGTATAAATAAAGGCATCAAAATTCATGCTCAATCATCCAGGTACCAAATCCAATAATGCTCAGTCAGGTCATCTGGACAGTTTATTTTTTGTACAAAGACATTTGGCCCTCTATCCAGAGGGCTTCATCAGTCTGAGGAGTCCCAAGTAAACTGATTTCCTACCAAAAAGTACACTCCTTAAGTGGACCAACCAGTTTGCTGGAGAAAATGGTTTCTGGGGCCTGTCCTGTCCCCCGTCGACTCCTCCCAGGCAGGCAGCCACAGCCAAAGTGGTTCAAGGCATCAAAGTTCATCCTCAATCATGTATAAATAACGGTTAAAATATTATCTGACCAATGAAATTCCCAAACAGGTAACAGTGGACCAATGAAACCAAGTTTCATTGGTCCACTAGAGAAGGGGGTGATTTTGTTGCCCCCATCCTAAGGGGTACAACAAAGTATTTGCAACCACTCGAAACAAGTGTGAATCGTGCATTATTGTGGCACACCCAGCTCGGTGGGACGCTTGGATGACTAGCAGCAAGAAATCATTTACCAAAACTGTCCGCATGCAAAGAGTAACTTTTTTCTGAAGTCGGCCAGTGGATCCTCGCAGCAGAGCAGGGTAAAAAAAAATCCACTATCAACAACGGGTTTCAAAAAGCTGTTGCATGATGAAGAGGACAGTACAACATCAAGGAGGAAGATGAAGATAGCGATCAATGACTTCCTGGTAGGTTACTGTATATTTTTAACCAGCTGTCTTACAAGCACTGTTCAGAGAAAAAAAAGTACATATTTGTGTACGTTACATATTTAACTAAAAGTTTAAAATATCTTTCTGTGTAAATATCTCATGTTACAACGTGGACACCAGCTCATACACAAGTTTGGCCTATATATGTACAATTTAGTGGGTGCGCTCAATAGTCGAGAAATTACGGTAGTTCTCCACATCAGCTCCATGCCACCTTTATTTCCACAATGGCTGCTTCATTAATGAAAGCTCACATCATTGCAGAATATGACCCAGTAAGTTGGTGATTTATGAGCGTCCAGAGGCAGGATAAAAAGCAATTAGTCTTTGCAGCCATGCTTAAATTAGCTACTGACACCGCAAACATTCTGTCTATCTTTCAGAAAAAATACGCCTCCCTCATCAGGAGCCAACTCAGTGTTTCATCTCTGCTGAAGAATTTATTGCCAATTTTTGGGTCCAAAGAGTTTTTTTTTTTTTTTTTCTTCACACACATTAAAACAATAAACCAGTGTTTTCATTCTGTCTTAAATAAATGTAGGATTTGAGTTCTATAGCTTGGAAATGTGGTTAAAATATAGGATTTACATAAGAGTTGTGCAAAACAATCCTTTCAAAAAGTGTTTGTACATTTCTTATTTAGCCCTTTTGATGATGGTTTATTTGAAGATAATTAAAAAATAGTCACAATAAATTACCTTAAGCCTAAAAATCATACAAGGTGGTAGCATTTATTCCCAATTTCCCCCCAACAGCTTTAAACCTCCACTCAGATTTTCACGCACCTGCACTTTGTTGCTCTCCAGCCTGCTCTTATTCTCATTGCTGGACTTGGCTGCCTTTTCTGCTGCCTTCTTCTGCATGTGAGGGCCGCGGCCGAAGAAGATGTAGTTTACGAAGGCGTACTCCAACAAGGCCAGGAATACAAAGACAAAGCAACCCATCAGGTAAATGTCAATGGCCTTGACGTAGGGGATCTTGGGTAGGGTCTCTCTCAGGTGGGTGTTGATGGTGGTCATGGTCAGCACGGTGGTTATGCCTGCAGGCGTGGACAGAAAACAGAACTTCAATTAGAACATCATTTATTGACATATTTTGATGATTCAGTGTGCTTTGTTATGTGTGACAAACAAGGAATGCACACATTTATCAATATATCATTAAAATTAAGCATATCGACCTTAACATGCAGATAAAAAATACATTTATTTAGGTTGTTACTATTTTAGGACTAATTCCTGCAACTTTTACATTTTAAGAAATGTTTTGCTTCTTTTTGATAGCTTTGTGCTACTTTCAGCTTAGTCAGTCATTCTGAACTCAGCATTGACTGCATTTTCACAGAAAATCCTATTTTTCTCTCACAAATGCATACTTTTTAAAGTAATTTAGTAATAACTGTTGACAGCAGGCAGCATTATTTATTACTAATAGCCATGAGCTAAAATGCTAAAAGGAGAGTTTAACGTTTGACGTGACCACAGATGGTTTCTCCTGCCTTTTGAAAACAGATTCCTGTAAAATCCTTAGTGGATGTAATTAAGAGGCTCTGCTGTGCTCAAACTCACACGCACAACCCTTAATGGAAGACTAATGGCTGATTTAAAGGCTAAAATTGATGGGACTTGGACCTGACACCACCTCAGTAACTCAGAGCCTTCCAGATCACAGAGAAGGCTCACAGTTGTCACAATAATGACAATAAACTTTGACTGCAACAAAACAAAACTCATGTAAATGGAAATTTGTGCTTGTGACAGGATGAAAGTTAGTGACATTTGATTTATCAGACATTTCAGATTTATGTTTAAGGCATTTTGTCTTTATTTGATGTGCTGTTCCCCTAAAGTCTCATCTTTGAGTCAAACTATAGTCCAATTTTTATTATTTAATTATTAACCTTTATTTAAACTGGCAAATCCAAATTAAATCACAGATCTCTTTTGAAAAGGAGGCCTGGGTTTGAAGATGGCATGTTTTTGGACTTTGGGGGGAAACTGGAGTACCCAGAGAAATTCCACACAAACATGAGAAGAACATACAAACTCACACAGAAAGACTCTGGGGATTGAGTACAGAACATCTTACTGTGGTCCCACAGTGCTAACCACTAAGCTGTCGTACTGCCCAGTTCCACTCAGTTTTGTATTGGTCTCAGGTCAGGGTGGATTCAGAGTTATGACTCTTTAATGTTGTCTCATTGAGTCAGGACTGTATTTCATGGTTGGTAACAACCGGAGCTCAGTTCTTTACTTTAAGGAAATCTGAAGTAACAGAAACCCAGAATGTTGTTTCTCGTCTAATTTAAAAAAAAAAGAAGAAAATATGTTTGAATTAAAAAATTTAAAAGCATTAACAGATGTTTGAATTATTATTGTTACTTTTTAACCAAACCCTCTGGTTGAGGACTGGCAACTCAGAATAAGGATGACCACTCACTACTACACTACCAGAATTAGTACTAGAATCCAAATTAAGCTAAATTTAGTAGAAATGTCATGGTTTTGTTTCAGCAAAAAGAAATGGGACCTTTTAATTTTTATACTTTACCTTCCAAATTGCATTGCAGTTTATTCACTCATATATTCATTCATTAACACCCATCTGCTCATTAGACTCATGTTCAGGCTGCTGTTTAATATGGTTTTACATTATTAGTGTTTAGCATATATCTTAGATCTTTTAACGTATTGTTTAGCATTTGTTTAGTGTTTATCTTAGTGCATATCTTATATCCTAATATACTGGTTTTTTTTACACTTTACATTTTGGCTATTTTTGGATGTTACGGGGACCTTGAGTACACAGTTTCCACCTCATGTACCACATGTGAAGCAAATGGCAATAAAGAAATTTGAACGTGAACTTGAAATCTTCAGGTGTGGCATTTGAAAAAGTACAACAAGCCAAGATTACAAACTTATGCTCAGAAAGAATTTAAAGTGTGAAGATCACAAATAAACATTCAAAGTTTCATAAAGATTTAAACACTTCCAAGTTGGTACAAATGTCTCAAAATTATACGTCCTTAAGTCTTTAAACATCCAAGAGAACAGACATCATTCAGATACGTCATCTTTCCAAATGCCTTGTGTTGGCACATGTTAAATGTCTGCAAATCCTGAGAATATATCTTCTAAATTTAATTATTATTCACACAGAATTTTCTCTCAGTCCATCTGTTAGATGTTCAGTGAGTTTATCAGATGATTGGGAACTTCACTGGCCTGGTTGAGTTAGATAAAATGAGAATAAGGTTTGATGCATTTCACTAAAATGATACCAAATTTATTGGATCATGAAAGGTTTAGATGGACCAACCAATAAGCACTTGGCTGTAATATTTCCAAGAAAAGGCTCCAGTCGATTAACTTTAATGAGCTCACATAACAGATCCAGACAGAGATCATATTTTAATGAAATGATGTCTGTAAGTAAAGGTTAATGTAGCACATTTTATCTCAAATCGGATCCCACAAAGTGCACACACGCTCTGGTTTGAGCAGCAGCATCTCACTGAAAGCATTAACACGAACCAGGAATGCTTAAGACTTATATCAGTTTCATGAAACAAATGTATCAGCATGATCTCAGCATGATACAGAACAGTCTCAGATTGAGTTTCAATCTGTTTGGTCAAACTTCATGATATATAATCCTTGGTTAACCTAAAAGGTATACTGTACAAATCAAAACTGATCACTTTTTGAACTCGTTACATAGCGGTTTTGTAAATTATTTCAGGCATACAGACCATGAAATATCAAAATAATCAATCTATTAAAAAAAAGACTTCCATACTGAGCCAAAAACAACAAAAAAATACTTGAATTTAATCATTAATAAGACTGAATGACAAAGGAGGCACTGACCTAAGGCGACCCTGGCAGCTGAGGCATCGTAATTTATCCAGAAGGAGACCCAGGATAGGATGGTGATCAAGATGGAGGGCATGTAGGTTTGCAGGATGAAATATCCAATGTTCCTCTTGAGCTTGAAGCTCAGCGACAGACGTGGATATGAACCTGTCAAAGCAAGAGGAACTGCATGTGAGGCATGATTGGCGTAAGATTTGAACCGACCTGCATTTCAACTAAAACGTTAACAGAAGTTTAGAGAAACCTAAGTTCAGATGATGTTAAATACTAAGATGTTCCTGCTACAAGAGGAACAAACTATGTCGAGGGAAGAAAAACTAAATGCAGAATATTAAAAACCAAAACTAAATGAGACTGAAAAGCAAAAGTTTATTTTCATAGGTCTTAAAAAAATGTACTGGAGCCCCCATGTTTTTTTCTCAGGACATCATTTCAAAAAGCACATGTAAAGATTGTACAGTAGTCCCTCTCTACTTCTCTTGAAGTTAAGGTGATGAAAAGTGTATACGGCACTCCATCTATATGATGTATACGTATATTAAGTTTCATTAAATTATATTGAGTGAATCAGAAGTTATGGCCCGGACAACAAAAGGTTACGGACGTAAGGACAGATGGGCGTAGACTATAATATAATAAGGAATAAAATAATACTGTAATACATTTAGCCTTTCACCAAGCTTATAAGATATCTCCACAGCGTCAGGAAAGAAAATTCATCTATTTTTGAAAAACCCTGGTCAGGTAGTCCCTTTTTGTTAAAAACACTGCTCTCACAGAGCCAACAAAGATAGCAGGAAGTCTGGGGAAATCTCAGAGTGCAACACTTAAAGTCAGAAACCACCGTTCGTTAACACTGGATCCCTCAGACGAGATTGTTCAATAAACCATCAAGTCATGGAGCAGTATCTCCCCGTGGACTTGGGAGAACCTTGGAAAACCATCATCATCAGCACATTCAGTGGCTGCATCCAGAAATGAAACCAGAAACTGCAACAAAAAATATTAAATCGTGTCATCTGGACCAGTTTCTTTAAGTGAAACGTTTTGTCCCCCATCCAGAGGACTTCCTCAGTCTATGGTCTGCCAACCATATCTGTCCCATTGGTAGCCTTCACTGCTGTGTTTTAAGCCAACCTCCTGTTGGAATCTCAAAAGTAAGCTTTTAACACATGCAAAACAATCAATCATCATGTACAACAATCGAATGTTTTAGGCCAGATGGCCAACTTGCTACTCGCAGAAACAGCCTGAGGACAACCAAGGCCAAAGTGATTCAGTAAAAGGATGGTAAGCTCAATCATCTAGGTAGATTACCAGAATCTGTTTTAACTTAGAGATTAATGGGTTGTGATTTATGAAATTGACCGCGTGTGACTGTTACCTGTGGCAAACACCGCCTTCTTGGAGAGGGTTTGATAGTCCATGATGGAGAACTGAGGCAGCTCAATGTTCTCCACCCCAGTGACGGAGCCAGAGTTGCTTCCTCCCTGCCAGTAAAACTCGATATCATCAGTCGTGTATCCATCTGATGAAGATGGGAGAAAACAGGGAGTTAAAATCTGACACAGAGTGAACCAGGATGTGATTTTAGACACGTGCACAGATTGGGGCAAAGTGTTGGTGTAGATTCTCAGTCATCCAGGACTTGAGCCTGACACATTTCCTCAGACTCTTTAAACACGCGTCAAGCTGGAAATATCCGACCCGCGCCGTGACAGTGGAAAAGGGGCATTATATCACATAAAACTGTCTGATCAAAGGTTGGATGCTTTAAAAGCATCTTTGCAGCATCTCTTAGTCTTGGAGTCAGGCAGTTTATCCTTCAAAACAATGTTTTTAGGAGATGATGTGCCTAAAGTGAGCAAACGCATTTCTTCAGACTCTTAGATTCTCTTCATAGCAATGAAGAAGAAAAACAGCTGGAAGAGGAGACACCTTGACATCATGAAACTGACTCTGGTATTGGATATGAAAAGGAGTGATGATGTGTGAATAACAGCAACTTGATGGACAACTCCAACTCCCGGTGACCTTCTGGATGGAGTGTGAGCAGCATTCATGTGTGACGCCTTTAGCTGGCGGGATGTGAACTCACAACAGCCACAGCTCCTGTGGGAATACCTGCTGGAGCAACGCTTTGAGTTCCCACTTTTATAACCTGTTTTGAGATCCACAGACGTGAGAATTGTTTCAAGCTACAACTGGAGGGAGAAAATAAAAAATGCTGGATAAAATATGTGACCCTTAAGGGAAGAGCACAGCAACTACGCTGTTTTCAAAGCTAGCAAGTGAATGAGCTGCAAAAGGCAGAGCCCCTATGCATATAGCAGCAATAGTCCACATTTAGACAAAAATGGTCAAACTTAACATCTTGAGAATAAAAAATATATAACTCTTTCCCACTTTATCTCAATATGACACTTTGCCAATAACTATTTGCATCAGTTTATAAAGCAGTCTCTTTTCCAGACACTTTGGTATGAACCGATCTGTTCCCCAGCTGCTTACCATCAGTTATCCTGCTGCTGCAGAAACTGATGCACTCGTTTTATCAAAAGGAAATGTGTTCTCCCGTTCTTCACCTTCTCTTTGTTAATCTTGAATCTGACTTTCGTTCAAAACCCAAAATTAAGACTATCTGAAAAACTAAAGTTGTGTGTTTTGATTTACCACCTTAAAAAAAAACTTTCTGTAAAGATGTTTACATCAAACATCTTTAGACCTCTTCTTATTGTACATAAAAATGTTATTGCTTTTATAACAAACCATTTCAGTGAGCTCTATATTTTTCCCCAATTCAATAAAAAAAAGAAACAATTAAATCAGAGTCAGAGTTTCTTTATTGTCATTCCCACCTCATGTGGTACATGTGGTGGAGCGAAATTTTGTACACAGAGTCCCAGTTACATCCAACAATAAAATGTAAAAGAAAAACAATGATAACATCTAAGATATGAACTAAGATAAACATCCACAAAAATACACTAAGCACTCATAGAATAAAAACAATACGACGAACATCAGCAAATCTCCACTCACATGAAGTTGTCCTCTGTTAAATAAGGTTTTTAGTGGAATAAACCAATTACAGTTAAATCAATCTTTTTACTCATTTTCTTTTACTCGTGAATAGTCAGGTCACAGACACAACAGGTCCATGGGGGGATCCCAAACAACTCACTCCCAAGCGACACTCTTATCACGCCTGAGAGAAGCTTCCAAAAAAGTTAAATCTGGATAAATTTCAGATTTAACTTTTTTTGGATTTTTCTACCTGGATTTCTGAGCATGCATCAGGATACTTCCAGCAGGTTCTTGGTCTGGGGAGGCATCAGGAGGCAAGCCAGTCAGATGCATGAGCCACATCAGTTGACATTTTAATGTGTAGATATGCAGCTCCTCACCTTATCTCCAAAGCTGAGTCCAGCCACCCTACAGAGGAAGCATATTCATCTGCTTCTGGCTTTCTGTTTATTCCTGTTAACATCATACCTCTTGTCCATGGGTGAGGGATTGACCTCTAAGTGAGCTTTGCCTTAAGACTCTTGGATACCTGAACTTCTCCACTTGAGGCAAAAAGTCACCCCCAACCAAGAGGAGCATTCCACCTTTTTCTGGTTGAGAACTGTGATGTCAGACTTAAGAGCCCAGCATACTCCACCCGAAGCACCGAAATTGTCTCTCATTGTTGCAGTTTTGTGACAAAAATTGTGTCATTTGTTTCTCAGAGCAGCTTCTCCCGCCCTTTCTTGACACAACACAAGACACTGACCAAACCTTTTCTCCCAGGCGTATGCACCAAATATTGTGTGATTGGTTAGAAGTTTGTGGGCATGTTCGTCAATTTGGAAATGTGCTCTGACATTCAGTTGTATGACTCTTCAAACACACTAAATTAGTCAAATGGTCAACAACTCCTGGATGGAGATTGTGCAGACATCGTGTATGAAAGAGTCTGTTTGCTGAAAAGTGTGGCACTTCATGAAAGGTGGATGCATGGAAGGAGTGGAGACTCTGGCGAGAAGAAACCTGTGTGGTGACGTACAGTATATTGCAGTGGGAGGGGTTTCCCAGCAGCTCCGCATCTGTGTCTCATGGACAATGCAAGGTGTGTGCGAAAACGAACATCCTGAACCACGTGACCGCGAGTCGACTGTTCGGCTTTAGATGGAGTATGCCAGATCCTTTAGAGGAGCTGACTCCTCCCAGCTACTTCACAATTGGCTGTGAACCATTTCACTGCATGCTAAAGGTCAAACAAACAGAAGCACCGCATCTGCAGACAGCAGAAACAAGATCCCGAGGTTCCGAAATCTGATTCCTTCCTTTCCTCGACTGCATCTTGGAATGCTGCCATTGAACACCACAAATAGGATTGAAGCCAAGGGGCAGCTCTGACATAGCTCTTGCTTTATAAGATAGCCCTTAAAATGACCCAAGAAACCCATACTCCCATAGCACTCCAACAAAATGCTTCAGGAGAACTCATCCGTAATCCTTCTGCACTTCCACAACATACGTTAACTGAATAATCAAACGCTTGCGACCCCCCTTGAAACTATGCAAGTGTTTTCTGTTCTACAACCTGAGCAAAAGCCACTGTGCTCCTCTTGAATCTGACACTCAACAGTTGGTCTGAGCCTTTTTTCCAGTAGTGAATGGTTAAATATTACAATCCCTCTGGTGTATTTTTTTTTCTTCTATAATCAGGCAGAGTTTAAATCATGTAGGTTAATCACTAAACATAGCATCATGTGCTCTTTGTCCTCCAGATCCCACACAAAAGAAAAAAACAGTTAACTCATCAGAGTGAGACGAAAAGTGTCTCTGACTCTCTGTCCTGCAGCTGGACATCTTCCAATTTCCCACACACTCAACTGGACGAACAATGAAGCATCCCCTTTACTTTTCCTGGCAGGTCTCTAGGCTACATCAAGCCTGCACTGGTGCGGACCAGCCCCCGGTGCCCTTCAGTAATTAGACCGATTTAATTGGGCCAGTGAGTCTATAGTTTCAGACTCTTCATCTTATTTTCAGGCAGCTGCAGAATTTCTCGGAATTAACTGCTTATCACGAGTGGAAGAGCTGTGATTTTTACCTCATTTTTCCTCATTTGTTTAATGTATATGAGAAAAAAAGATTATGATCATTTAAGTGGACAATTACAACGGTGAGACTATGGTGCAATTTATCTGCCAAACTACCATGATTCAAGTCTTTGTATAATCTTATTTCTTATAAAAATAAATTAATATGTTTCTAATGTTTTGTAACCCAATGTAATTCTGCAAACATATGTCTGAAAGATAAATATTGTAGTCCTCTTCTTCAGTGTTTGCTGCATTAATGTCCGCATATAATCACGTACAAATCATTAAAAAATTCTTCGCAGAGCTGTATGATTTTCATGCACATGATTTATGCATGAAGCTCCAGGTGGGAATGATGTTCTCTATAAGCAGACATACATAAAGCATCAGAGTTAACTATTCATGTCAGAATTATGAATTATTTAATTGAAACACTCTGAACAGGTTTGATCAAACAGGAAACGTCCCTTTGCATTAGTTGGTGTGAAGCTGAGCCTGACCTCAGTGACTACAGAGGGTTCTGACCTGTGACATTGTGTGGACAAGAAGAACTGAAGCAGAGATGGATGGATGGAGGAGGAACGTTTAAAACTTTTAAAAGTTAAATTGGGTTTAACAACCTCAACGGGACTGAGAAGTCTGTGTACTGCAGCTGGGAGTTAATGAAAGTACAATGATGTCACTGAGGTTAAACCTTTAATGGTGTTTTGAAGCAAATTGTTCTGCTCTAAACTTCTGATCCAGCTTACATTTCATTATATTTTCCATCCAAGCAGTCAGAGTTTCCCCTAAAGCCTTTTAAAGTAGTCTTCCAAATAATTTAATGAACATTTTCTGCTTTGACGCTCAATTTCAGACCAGTAACTGAACGTGTTTTGATTGTTAAGCAACTTAAACTTGACCTATGAGTCATTGGGACATAAAAAAAGTCTCCTAACTCAAGGGATGAGTCAGTGTTTTGTCAACAGAAAACAAACAACTTTGCAAAGTAAAAGTTTTAAAATAGACCTTAAGGATCTTTGGTCCCAGCAGCTTGTAGCAACAACATTTTTTTTTTATTTCTTCAGTCGACTCTATGAAAAATCTCAGAGCACATTTTGATTGAGAAGATGAAATATCCAATTTGCTCATTTTTTCTGATAAATTTATTTTGATACAGCTGTGTGACAATCAAGCTCCCTCTGGGGAATAAAAACAATTACCGTATTGTTCACCGTATAAGTCACACCTTTTTGCATAAATTTGCAAATCCTGTGACTTATACACCGAAGTGACTAATACACGTTTTTTTTTTCTCATATTCATAATCCAATTTTTGTCTGAGATCTGATGATTTCATTTATTCTGACATGAAAAACATTGAACACTACCATTTTCAGCTGCTAGAGGGCCCTCGACCAATATGGCAAGCCAAGTGTCTCATTAATAGGTAAAAGTGGCTATTAATGAGTCATTTGGCTTGCCATACCAAGCCACCTTAGTCCCGCTCTGGAACTCCTGGAGCAAACGTTAAATCAGCTGCATTTCGCTGCGCCGCCCAGGCGAAATGCAGCTGATTTAACCATTAAAGTGCATTTATTAAGGAAAAATTCAACTGAGACACAGCTTTACCATAATATCAAGCAAACAAACAATTGTGTTTAAGTGGTTATCTTGTTAAATTTAGACAAAAATGCACAGCGAGTCCTCCCTCTACACACTCCAGCAGCCGCAAATCAGTTTTTGAAATGCAGCTGATTTGACCATTAAAGTGCATTTATTAAGGGAAAGTTAAACTGAGACACATCTTTACTATAATTTTGAGCAAACAAATAATTGTTTTTAAGTGTTAATCCTGTTAAATTATTGTTAAAGTCCTCCCGTGCATGCTCTTGCAGACGCCATTTGGCAGCCAGTTGATTTTTGGCACACCGGCCCACGTTTCTGGGTGGTCAGCGGTGATGCGTAACAAACGTGACGCGTCAGCGGTGACGCATAATTTTTTTCATTCAACCTTTATTTAGACAGGTTAATCCCATTGAGCCTCAAGGACTCATTTACAAGAGATGCAACTTATACGGCGAAGCGACTTAATTACGTTTTTTTCCTACTTTATTAGACATTTTTGAACTGATGCGCTGTGTACGGCGGTAATTACGGTAGGTTAATTCACATTTGAAACATGTTTTATTAACTTATCTTTAAGCCACATTTTATCCCGTTAGTAAATAAGTATATGTAAACTTCATAGATAAAATCACAGAGTGCTTTACAGAAATACAAAATACAGGTTTAAAATAAAACAAAAACAGTAAGAGTGGCTGATAAAAAACATAACATTTAACTAAAAGCTTGTCTGAATCATCAGAGACGGTAGGACTGGACCAGCCTGTCCTCGCTGTTAGATATAACAGAATAGAAGCTGAAATAAATGCAAGATTAGTAAAAACTAGGCTTTAGCAGTTTGACATCTTATCACAGCTCAAGACTGTAATAAAGTTGGCAGAAAATTTGTAACGAGAAACTTCAAGAACATAAAAAAGTCTGTTTGTTTGGATCGACTGAACTAAAAGCTTCCAGTAAGTTAACATCAATAAGTTAACGTTATTCTCTATTTCAGGTATTTTTGATGAGTTGTATTTCATTTTTCTGCACCGCGCAGCAGAGCAGAGTTTTTAACTGAGGATAAGAACACACTTATCAGTCAGAGATGCTCTTTAAGTATTTCTGTGTTGCTTTCGATGTGCAAACAAACACGTCGACTAAATCAGCGTCACTCACAGCTTTCGATTTCCAACGTGCAGTTCTGCTCATCCAGCGGGTATCTGCGCAGGTCCATCATGCAGGCGGCTGTCGTGGTGATCCTTCAACCAAAATGACAAAAATAGTTTAAAACAAACTGAGATTCAGGAGAATTTATGGCTAATTAAGTTTGGAGAAACCCTTTTTGACTTAACCTTCTAAAGCTCAGCTCGCACAGATCCTTTCACACGTCGACTGGAACAAAACTATCGGTTTCTTTTCTCCCATAATTACTTTTGCTCCACTGAAGTCCTGATTGTAGCTCTGCTCTCTCTGAAAACCCTTGTGTTTGATCTCATTTACAACTATAAGTAATTAACAATAATATCCAGACAACCTGGTGAAACCTACAATTCTCCTCCTTCAAGTTGTACATCCAAAGGGGGAAAAAAAACTTTTGTTGGACAAAAGTAATCGTGTATTTTCTTATTTCTGAGCCCTGTGTTGACAAGATTGGCTGTTTTCTATTCATTTATTTGGAACCATATGTTATTTACAGCCTTATAATCATGAGTGTACAACAGCAAACAGCAATAAATAACTTTAAATAATCATTAAAGCATAGAGGCGCATTCCATTTAATGGGCTGTATTCAGATAAATTACAGTATTTTAATGGTTGACTTGCAGCAACAGTCATTTAAACAGAACATTTATCAGCGGCCAAACAAAGACTCCCTTCATGCCTCGAACGCAAGTCCTCAATAAAATCACCGATGCTAATTAAAAGGCATTTTTAGGTTAAATTAAACATCTTAAAGTCCAGACTGATGTTGTGCTTCTGATGTTCTCATTTTACACGTTTGCTCATGAAAAAGGCACATTTCTTCCCGCTGCTTCGTCTTCTCAAATCTTTATTTCTATCCACATGAACGTCTGACGTTTTGAGTCTGCCTGTGGAAAGGCTGTTTGGATTTCATCATCTAGTGTCATTGCAGCTCTGTGGCGAAGGCTTCGGGATGGTCCTAATCTGAATGTCTTGCTTGGATAAACTCAGATTGCTGGAGGAACCAAAGAATCTGGCAGGAACTTTGATGCGGAAAGGCAAAAGGGAGGCGACTTGATCACCGACCGTTCATGCAGAAGATTCATATCTCATTCATTAGAACCATGGATGTATGCACAAAGGATCAACACCATGCAGGAAGAACATATTGCAAACAGCTGCTTGGGACTCAAGCAGCAGGAACTAGAAACAGAGATGCTCCAAAGTGAGTTACTGTGGCTGCAAGAGAAGATTATTGCCAAAGTGAAGTGAGAACCTTTATCTGATCATCCAGTACAGATTAACAGGAGATTAACAAATACAGACAAGGGAGCTGGATTCATCTGGATACTGACACTGCTGATGAGTGAGGCTAAAAGTTACAAAGAGATAAGTACTGGCACATTACATAGTACTATTACACATCAGCCTGTAGCAATGGCCTAGACAAGTAAAGACCTTTTATAAAATTTGATTTTGATTTGTGACCTTGATCTTGAAGCAGGTGATGAACAGTGTATGCAACACTCTGTCTAGTGATATTGCAAAGGTGTATTAAGTTTCAATAAACTATCTTGAGCGGATCAGAAATTATGGTCCAGAAATGATCAAGTTTATGGACAGAGAGAGACTATAATTTGTCCTGCCTTTGACAGGCGTATAAAATGTTTGAGTAATTTGATAAACAAATGATACAGGAAGCAACTTCCAGGCAGGCAGAGCTCAGCAAATGCTTTCTATACTTGGCAGGAGCTTGTTAATGCAGTATAAATGTAAAAGTACATTTATAAATGAGTATGAGGTATTTTTTAGAATAAAAAAAATAGAACTGAGACATGAAAATCAATTGTAACAATTATTTTATATATATATATAAATATATATATACATATATAAATTTGATAGAGCGATCTTAAAAGACTACTTTCTGGGCTTTGGATTGGATGCTTGCATTTATTACTATTTAATAAAATTGATGTATTTCTGCCTAAACCACAAAAATAGATTTATGTATAAAAAAAAAAAAGTTTTAATTAAACTCCTAGGATTTCTTAAAGGAATGCTTATCACCAACCACCTTTGACGCACAAGTTTTCTGACTACTTTTTTGTTGAGAAATGACAGAATTATAGTTGTTTTGGTCAAACCTTGAAATATTGTTATGCACAGTGTCATAATATATTGAGATGTCACACTAATAGACCATGTTGTGAATAACTGTCAGCTACCAGCACACCAAATTTTAGCTAAATGTCTGTAGAATAGACTAAATCATAGTCATTTTGCACACGTCTCAAACACGGTTTGGACTAATTTTTCCACACATATTACCTGTAGATGCATTTAAAGCATATTGTGAGTGAGACTTCATAATTATTTTTACCTGTAGTTACTTCAGAGCTGATTTCAGACATCTAAAGTATTCAAATTTCAAACATTTCCACGTCAAATGTCTCCAAACTGAGATCATCTGATTGTTATCCAATACAAATAATATGCTAACTACTCATAATTAATCAACATAACCTAACATAACATAACAAATGTCTCAACTAACCCTCTAAGGTCATTGTAGTCTGCAGAAGACATTTTTTAATAAGTTTTCTCTTCATGTTTTGAGCGCACACCCTCCCAGCTCAGGATGAACCATCAGTTATGCAACTGAATGCTAATTAGTCCAGATAGTGTGATTGTTCGCTGGTCGGCTGAGCACCCTGCAGAAACACTCAGAATGAAATCCAGAAGAAATGACGTATTTATGTGATGGAGGGAGAAATATGGACTCCACTTGCTATGTCCTTGCTTTTCACGTTAGTTTTTTTTTTTCCTCTCTGAGCCCGGCTGTCCCCAGTTCTCCTCAGGGGGTCCCTAAAAGCGTTGAAGGCCCCTTTTAACTCCCCGTTAACTTCAGGTCTCTCTTAAATTATTTGCATAAGTTCTCAGATTGGACACAAAGGTCCGGTAGGCGATTTATTTTTGAGTTTGGCTGTAAATGTACTTTACTTGTATCTGAATCAGCTGCATTTTTTATGTGAGTATACTGTCCTGCGGAGAGGTGTGGTAGCAGTTTGGGCATCTTCCCACCATGTCAGAGGGCCCAGTGGGAAATATTTTTGTGAAAGAGGTGCTCATAATCAAGCCCTGCCAGGAATTACAAGTTGAAATCCCACAAAGCTTTTTCTCAACCAGTTGTAAGGAAAAATTCAGCAGATCTTTATTATTTTTATAGTTGTCTTATTGTTTTACTGTTGTTTTTTTGTTTTTATTTTTGTACAGCACTTCAGTCGGCTGCTATGTTGTAATTTAAGTGCTTTAGAAATAAATTTGTATGGTATAGAATATCTTAGCTGCCAGACTCTCACTATGTAGAACCGACATGGGTAATTTAAGGCCCGAGGGCCAAACATGGCCCTTGGACAATTTCTATCAGGCCCCACAATATCCTTCACTCAAAAGAAAATATATAAAAAAAGATTTATAAAAAAAAAAATGCAATTTATAAACGAGACTTAAGGGAATTTAAATTAAACATCTTACGCAAAACATTTTTTTAAAGCATTTTTTAAGTCGTTTTTCCAGAACAAGATTGAACCTTATATACTTAGAAACAAAAATATATGTTTGTTGTGCATATTTCCACTAACATATATATATATCAAGTTATGCTAATGTGTATAATATGCCACAAGAGCCAGTTTACAACATGTCTTATATTCCTAAAGGGTTTTGGAAAACAAGTTTTTATAAAGCGCTAACTATGCTACAACAAGAAAAAGCCTGAAAAAGGTCTTCTAGACTATCTGTCATAAAGAAAATTAATTTTCAATTATCAATGTGACCCTTTGATTGCTCTAAATGTCTTGATGTGGCTCTGTGGGGGAAAAAAAAATGTTGCCAACCTCTGATGTAAGGTCCACCAAGACATAAATATTCATTCATTTCTTACCTTTAGAATATTCTCAGGCTATTGGAAGCACCAGATAAATTATCAAGCATTCAAAGATTAAAAGACTATTTCAGAAACTGCATTCAGCTCGTTCTGTTTTATTATCGCCTGCAAAAGCATGTCGCAAACTTGACGAACTGAAAAAAACAAGAAACTTAAATTAAAATTGAGTTTAATATTAGAAATAGATCCTATTTAACTCCGAATGCTAGGAAACGCCTTGTAACTGCTTCCTTCCCTCCATCGACTAAGGTGACATTAATTAGATGAATGCTACTACAAGCACCCTGCAGATGTTGGACACTGTCTGTCATGGTGCACTAAGATTCATAACCATTCCCACCACTGCACCCTGTATTCACTGGTTAACTGGTCATCATTAACTTCATGCAGACTCTCCCACTGGTACATTTTCATCTTTAAATCACTTCTTTGTCTGCTGCCTTCATACATCTCCTCCTACGTGTCTCTGTGTGAGTGCAGCTCCAGCGTGCGCTCTCAGGACATAATTACCTGCAGCGTCCCCTCAATGCAGACTGAATTCGGCAAAAGGGCCTTCCCATCGCTCCTGTAACCTGGAACACCTTGCAAAAATATCTGAAGCTGTCAACTTTGACCTCTCTAAGGGATTTTAAACAATTAAGTTCAATGCAAAAATCAATGCAGACGTTCCTGTGTTTAGTATTTTACCTCGTTTCCTAATGAAGCTTGATTTTATTTTGTTTTATATCACTACTTTTATTTACTTTTTATTTCATAAAATTTTATGGCTTCTTATTGTTGTGTGTGGTTTATCTAAAACAAGTCTCTCTTGAAAATGAGTCCTCATGACTCAGTGAGACTAAACTGTTTAAATAAAGGTTGAACGAATAAAGAAAGGAGAAGGCGGACAATAATGTTTCTACTTGTGTGTGTGTCTGTTAGCAAAATTTTAATAAAATTTACCTTTGTAATCATTGGCTGTTTGGAGTCCAATGGCCTAGCAACCTTAAAAACACAGACATGTCTCTAACTCAGCCAGTTTTACAGATACTGAGCTGAAATTTCTGTATAGCCGAGTCATTAACAACACAAACATTTTTTTTTAATTTTGGACAAAAACTGCTACAACGCTGTCATTTTTTAACATAG